CTATATGCAAATGAGGCTCTACGCAAATGAGTCTTCAACCCACCAGGCCTGTGAGCTCTGTATGCTAATGAGTTCTATATGCTAATGAGTCCTATGCTAATGAACCCCATGCTAATAGGTGTCCTTCTAGGCACCAACCAATCAATCTGTTATGCAAATCAGCCCCATGTTAATGAGCTCGATGCAAATGAGACACTTAAGCCCCGCCCACATCCAGGCGGTGGCGGGAAAATGACGCAATAAGGGCGGGAACGGGCGGTGACGTCAGTGATGGGATGGGCGGGTTGTTCGTGGCTTAATGGGGAGGGGGTGATGACGTCATTAATGACGTCCGGCCCGACCGGTTTGGGGGCTTCAATGGGGGGAAGCGTCGGCGGTGACGTCACCCGTTTGGCGCGCAATTACGAGCGTTTTTGGCGCGCCCTGACTCAATGAGAGGGTTTGGGGGGGGGGGGGGAGGGGCAATGATGGGGTTCGGGGGGGGAGGGGCGGGGTTTAAGGGGGCCCCCCCGCGGCTGCAGCCCCAGAACGGAGCCGAACGCGTCCGGTGCAGGCAAGAAACGGGCGGGGGGCGTTTGGGGAGCGTTTTGGGGCGTTTGGGAGCGTTTTGGGGCCGTTTGAAGGCGTTTGGGAGCGTTTGGGGGCGTTTTGAAGGCGTTTGGGAGCGTTTGGGGCGTTTGAGGCGTTTGGGAGCGTTTGGGGGCGTTTTGAAGGCGTTTTGGGGCGTTTGGGAGCGTTTTGGGGCGTTTTGGGGCCGTTTGAAGGCGTTTGGGAGCGTTTTGGGGCGTTTGAAGGCGTTTTGGGGCCGTTGAAGGCGTTTTGGGGCGTTTTGAAGGCGTTTTGGGGCGTTTTGAAGGCGTTTTGGGGGTAATTGCGGGCGTTTGGGGGCGTTTCAGTGCATTTGGGGGTGATGTTTGGGGTAACTTAAGGGGTTTGGGGGTGTTTGGGGCGATTGAGGGCGTTTTGGGGGTAATTACGGGCGGTTTGGGGCGTTTGCGGGTGTTTTGGGGGCGTTTAGGGGTCAATTTTGGGGTAGCTAAACCGGTTTGGGGGTGTTTTGGGGGCGTTTGTGGGGTTACTGAAGTCGTTTGGGGGCCTTTCAAAGGTAACTACAGGCGTTTGGGGAGGGTTGAGGGCGTTTTGGGCTTTTGGGGGGTAACTAAAGGCGTTTGGGGGCGTTTTGGGGGTAATTAAAGGTGTTTGAGGTGTTTTGGGGTAATTAAAGGCGTCTGGGGTGTTTGGGGTGTTTTGAGGTGGTTTTCAGGGTGTTTGAGGGCGTTTGGGGTCCTTGGGGGGTAAGTGCAGGCGTTTGGGGGTGTTTGGAAGCGTTTTGGGGGTAACTAAAGGCGTTTGAGGGTGTTTTGGAAGCGTTTTGGGGGTAACTAAAGGCGTTTGAGGGTGTTTGGGTGCGTTTTGGGGTCATTGGGGGTAGCTCCAGGCGGTTTGGGGTGGTTTGGGTGAATTTGGGGGCATTGAGGACATTTGGGTCACTTGAGGGGGTTTTGGGGACACTCATTGGGGTGGTTTGGGGGCAGTTTGGGGTGGTTTAGGGGTGTTTTGGTATGTTTCGGGGTATTTGGGGGTGTTTCAGGGTATTTTGGGGTATTTGGGGGTGGTTGAATTGTATTTTGGGGGGGTTTAGGGGTATTTTGGGGTGTTTTGGGGTGGTTTAGGGTATTTCGGGGGGGTTTAGGGCTATTGGGGTGTTTGGGGGGTATTTTGGGGCTATTTGGGGGGGTGGGGGTATTTGGGGGTGTTTTGGGGGTGTTCTAAGGGTATTTGGGGGGGTTGGGGGTATTTTGGGGTGGTTTAGGGTATTTGGGGGTGTTTTGGGGGTGTTCTAAGGGTATTTGGGGGGTTGGGGGGGTTTTGGGGTGGTTTAGGGTATTTGGGGGGGTTTTAGGGCTATTGTGTTTTGGGCGTATTTTGGGGCTATTTGGGGGGGTTGTGGGGTGTTTTAAGGGTATTTTGGGGTGTTTCAGGGCTGTTTTGGGGCAATTTTGGGGGGGTCGGGGTATTTGGGGTGTTTCTGGGCTATTTTGGGGTGTTTTGGGTGTTTTAAGTATATTATGGGGTGTTTTGGGGCTATTTAGGGGTGTTTTGGGGATATTTTGGGGTGTTTTAAGGGTATTTAGGGTTGTTTTGGGGCTATTTGGGGGTGTTTTGGGGCTATTTTGGGGTGTTTTGGGGCTATTTGGGGGTGTTTTAAGGGTATTTAGGGTTGTTTTGGGGCTATTTGGGGGTGTTTTGGGGCTATTTTGGGTGTTTTGGGGTGTTTTAAGGGTATTTTGGGGTGTTTTGGGGTTATTTTGGGGTGTTTTGGGGCTATTTTGGGGGTGTTTTGGGGTGTTTTTAAGGGTATTTTGGGTGTTTTGGGGCTATTTTGGGGTGTTTTGGGGCTTATTTTTGGGGTGTTTTGGGGTGTTTAAGGGTATTTAGGGTTGTTTTGGGGCTATTTGGGGGTGTTTTGGGGCGTTTTAAGGGTATTTAGGGTGTTTTGGGGCTATTTGGGGGTGTTTTTGGGTCGGTTTTGGTGACGGGGGTGTCGGGGCCGCAGGTGGGGGGGGCCATGGGGCGCTTGTGCCGGTGCCGGGGTCGCAGACGGGGTCAAGGTCGGGGTCAAGGTCGGGGTCAGCGGCGGCAGCGCCAGAAGCCCTGCGGGTGCCCCTGCAAGGTACGGAACGGGGGGGGGATTTGGGGGGGGTGGGGGGAATTTGGGGGGGTTGGGGGTGAATTTTGGCCTTTTGGGGGTGAATTTGAGCACTTTGGGGTGAATTTGGGCGTTTTCAGGTAATTTGTTTTATTTTGGGGGCTGAATTTTAGCAGTTTTGGGGTAAATTTGGGCGTGTGAGGTAAATTTGGGAGTTTTGAGCGTGAAATTGGGCATTTTGGGGGTAAACTTGGGCCGGTTTGGGGTGAATTTGGCTGTTTTCAGGGAAATTTGGGCAGTTTTGGGGTGAATTTGGGCATTTTGAGGAAAATTTGGGCGGTTTTGGGTGAATTTGGGCGGTTTTGGGGTGAATTTGTGTGTTTTTGGGGTGAATTTGGGCGGTTTTTGGGTGAATTTGGGCATTTTGAGGTAAATTTGGGCAGGTTTTGGGTGAATTTGGGCGGTTTTGGGGTGAATTTGGGCGGTTTTGGGGTGAATTTGTGTGGTTTTGGGGTGAATTTGGGCGGCTTTGGGGTGAATTTGTGTGGTTTTGGGGTGAATTTGTGTGTTTTTGGGGTGAATTTGGGTTGTTTCCTTGGGGGCCACCTCTCACACCTCCCCTTTGCAGCCCAGCTGCTGCCCGTCGATGACATCACCGATGACGTCGCCGATGACGTCACCGCCGCTCGCCGTCACCACCACCTACATCATCTGGCCCCCCCCGCCATCACCACCATGGGGGGGCCCCGCGTGGCCGTTGTTGGGGGTCCCGAGCCCCCAAAATGTTGCTTTTAGCCCCAAAATGTTGCTTTTAGTCCCCAAAATGCTGCTTTTAGCCCCAAAATGCTGCTTTTTGCCCCCAAATACTGCTTTTAGCCCCCAAAAATGCTGCATTTTGCCCCAAAATGTTGCTTTTTAGCCCCCAAAATGTTGCTTTTAGCCCCAAAATGTTGCTTTTAGCCCCAAAATGTTGCTTTTAGCCGCCAAAATGTTGCTTTTAGCCCCCAAAATGTTGCTTTTAGCCCCCAAATGTTGCTTTTAGCCCAAAATGTTGCTTTTAGCCCCCAAAATGTTGCTTTTAGCCCCCAAAATGTTGCTTTTAGCCCCAAAATGTTGCTTTTAGCCCCCAAAAATGTTGCTTTTAGCCCCAAAATATTGCTTTTAGCCCCCAAAATGTTGCTTTTAGCCCCCAAAATGCTGCTTTTAGCCCCAAAATGCTGCTTTTAGCCCCCAAAATGTTGCTTTTAGCCCCAAAATGTTGCTTTTAGCCCCCAAAATGTTGCTTTTAGCCCCAAAATATTGCTTTTAGCCCCAAAATGTTGCTTTAGCCCCCAAAATGTTGCTTTTAGCCCCAAAAATGCTGCTTTTTGCCCCAAAATACTGCTTTTAGGCCCCAAAATGTTGCTTTTAGCCCCCAAATGCTGCTTTTTGTCCCAAAAATCTTCATTTTGTGGCCGTTTGGACCCTAAAGAATGGTTTTTAACCCCAAAATTCACCTTCCCCCTCGAGCCCCCCCCCGTTCCCAAAGGGAATTTGGCAACGAAGCGACCTGTGCCCCAAAACCACCGGTTTTCACCCCAAAACCACCCTAAACCACCCCAAAACTGCCCAAATCTGACAAAAAACGCCCAAATTTGTCCCCAAAACGCCCAAATCCACCCAAGAATGCCAAAATTTACCCCCAAAACACGCAAATTTAACCCAAAACGCCCAAATTCACCTAAACCCGCCCAAATTTACCCAAATTCGCCCAAATTGGGTTAAACTTCATCCGCCCCGAAACTTTGCCCCAAAATCGGAGGTTTTGGGGGTGGGGCAGAACCCAATCGATCCCCGGCCCCAAAATGACGGGTTTTTAACCCAAAACGCGACCTCGCGGGGGGGATTTGACCTAAAAACGCTGTTTTCACCCCAAAAAACACTGGGAAACGCTGGATTTCGCTGCGAAAACGCATCGATTTGATACCCAGACCCGCTTTTGACCCAAAAAGCGGCGTTTTCAGCCCAAAAACGTCGGGAACCGCGGGGTTTCGCTGTGAAAATGAATAAATTTGACACCAAAGCTCTTTTTTGACCCAAAAAGCGGCGTTTTCAGCCCAAAAACGTTGGGAAACGCTGGATTTCGCTGTGAAAACGCATAAATTTGATACCCACAGCAGTTTTTGACCCAAAAGCGGCGTTTCAGCCCAAACGGGGGGGGGGGGGGGGCATTCGCTCCTCGCCCCCGAATTCCCCTTTTCCACCTTAAAACGCGGAGGTGATGACGACATCGAGTCCTTTTGGCGCCAAAAAGGGGCGGGGCACATCCGGGTGTGTGGGAGGGGGCGGGGCCAAGGGAGGGGGCGGGGCCATGGAGGGAGAAGGCGCCACGGGGGGGGTCGCGCTCCTGACCCGGGTCCTGCCGGGGGGGGGAGGGGACCGGAAGTTGGGGGGGGAGCCCCTGGCGGTGGGGGTGAGTGGGGGAGGGGGCTACGGGGTGCTGTGGGTCTCTATGGGTCTCTATGGGTCTCTATGGGGTCTCTATGGGGCCTCTATGGGTCTCTATGGGTCTCTATGGGTCTCTATGGGTCTCTATGTGTCTCTATGGGTCCCTATGGGTCTCTATGGGTCTCTGTGGGGTCTCTATGGGTCCCTGTGGGTCTCTATGGGTCTCTATGGGTCTCTATGTGTCTCTATGGCGTCTCTATGGGTCTCTATGGGTCTCTATGGGTCTCTATGGGTCTCTATGGGTCTCTATGGGTCCCTATGGGGTCTCTATGGGGTCTCTATGGGTCTCTATGGGGTCTCTATGGGTCTCTATGGGTCTCTATGTGTCCCTATGGGTCTCTATGGGTCTCTATGGGGTCTCTATGGGGTCTCTATGGGGTCTCTATGGGTCCCTATGGGTCTCTATGGGGTCTCTATGGGTCTCTATGGGTCTCTGTGGGGTCTCTATGGGGTCTCTATGGGTCTCTATGTGTCTCTATGGGTCTCTATGTGTCTCTATGGGTCCCTATGGGTCTCTATGGGTCTCTATGGGGTCTCTATGGGTCCCTGTGGGTCTCTATGGGTCTCTATGGGTCTCTATGGCGTCTCTATGGGTCTCTATGTGTCTCTATGGGTCTCTATGGGTCTCTATGGGTCCCTATGGGTCTCTATGTGTCTCTATGGGTCTCTATGTGTCTCTATGGGTCTCTATGGGTCTCTATGGGTCTCTATGGGGTCTCTATGGGTCTCTATGGGTCCCTATGGGTCTCTATGTGTCTCTATGGGTCTCTATGTGTCTCTATGGGTCTCTATGTGTCTCTATGGGTCCCTATGGGTCTCTATGGGTCTCTATGGGTCTCTATGTGTCCCTATGTGTCTCTATGTGTCTCTATGGGTCTCTATGGGTCTCTATGGGGGTCTCTATGGGTCTCTATGGGTCTCTATGGGTCTCTATGGGTCTCTATGGGGTCTCTATGGGTCTCTATGGGTCTCTATGGGTCTCTATGGGGTCTCTATGGGTCTCTATGGGGTCTCTATGGGGTCTCTATGGGTCTCTATGGAGTCTCTATGGGTCTCTATGGGTCTCTATGGGTCTCTATGGGGTCTCTATGGGTCTCTATGGGTCTCTATGGGGTCTCTATGGGTCTCTATGGGTCTCTATGGGTCTCTATGGGGTCTCTATGGGTCTCTATGGGTCTCTATGGGTCTCTATGTGTCTCTATGGGGTCTCTATGGGTCTCTATGGGTCTCTATGGGGTCTCTATGTGTCTCTATGGGTCTCTATGGGTCTCTATGGATCTCTATGGATCTCTATGGGGGTCTCTATGGGTCTCTATGGGTCTCTATGGGTCTCTATGGGGTCTCTATGTGTCTCTATGGGTCCTCTATGGGTCTCTATGGATCTCTATGGATCTCTATGGGGTCTCTATGGGTCTCTATGTGTCTCTATGGGTCTCTATGGGGTCTCTATGGGTCTCTATGGGGTCTCTATGTGTCTCTATGGGTCTCTATGGATCTCTATGGATCTCTATGGGTCTCTATGGGTCCCTATGGGTCTCTATGGGGTCTCTATGGGGTCTCTATGGGTCTCTATGTGTCTCTATGGGTCTCTATGGGGTCTCTATGGGTCTCTATGGGTCTCTATGGGTCTCTATGTGTCTCTATGGGTCTCTATGTGTCTCTATGGGTCTCTATGGGGTCTCTATGGGGTCTCTATGTGTCTCTATGGGTCTCTATGGGTCTCTATGTGTCTCTATGGGTCTCTATGGGTCTCTATGTGTCTCTATGGGTCTCTATGGGTCTCTATGTGTCTCTATGGGTCTCTATGGGTCTCTATGGGTCTCTATGTGTCTCTATGGGTCTCTATGTGTCTCTATGGGTCTCTATGGGGTCTCTATGGGGTCTCTATGGGTCTCTATGGGTCTCTATGTGTCTCTATGGGTCTCTATGGGTCTCTATGTGTCTCTATGTGTCTCTATGGGTCTCTATGTGTCTCTATGGTCTCTATGGGTCTCTATGGGTCTCTATGTGTCTCTATGTGTCTCTATGGGTCCCTATGGGTCTCTATGTGTCTCTATGGGTCTCTATGGGTCTCTATGGGTCTCTATGGGTCCCTGTGGGTCCCCGCAGGTTTCCCAGCTCCTGTTGGGGGCGCTGCAGTGCGCGCTGGGGGCGGGGCTGTTCGTGGCCCTGCAGCACCCGGTGGGGGCGGAGCTCGGGGCCCCCATAGGGGCAGGAGCCGTGGTGAGGGGGGGGCACTTGTGGGGCAGGAGGGGGAACACTTGTGGGGCAGGAGGGGGAACACTTGTGGGGCAGAGGGGGAACACTTGTGGGGCAGAGGGGGAACACTTGTGGGGCAGGAGGGGGAACACTTGTGGGGCAGAGGGGGAACACTTGTGGGGCAGGAGGGGGAACACTTGTGGGGGCAGAGGGGGAACACTTGTGGGGCAGAGGGGGAACACTTGTGGGGCAGGAGGGGAACACTTGTGGGGCAGAGGGGGAACACTTGTGGGGCAGGAGGGGAACACTTGTGGGGCAGAGGGGGAACACTTGTGGGGCAGAGGGGGAACACTTGTGGGGCAGGAGGGGGAACACTTGTGGGGCAGGAGGCCACTTGTGGGGCAGAGGGGGAACACTTGTGGGGCAGGAGGGGGAACACTTGTGGGGCAGGAGGGGGAACACTTGTGGGGCAGGAGGGGGAACACTTGTGGGGCAGGAGGGGGAACACTTGTGGGGCAGGTGGGGGAACACTTGTGGGGCAGGAGGGGGGGCTCTTATGGGGGTTGATGGGGGGCACTTGGGCTGAGGGGGCACTTTTGGGGCAGGGGTGGCACTTATGGGGCAGAGGGGGCACTTACAGGGCGGGGGGGCAGTTGTGGGGCAGAGGGAGCACTTATGGGACAGAGGGGGTGGTTGTGGGTGGAATTGAGGGGTGGGGTTATGGGGTGGTTATGGGGCAGGGGGTGGTTATGGGGTGGTGGACACTTACAGGGCACTTATATGGGGTGCTATGGGGAAGGGTGGGCTCATATTGGACCGGGGGGAGCACTTACGGGGTGGGCCCCACTTATGGGGCAGAGCGTGACCCACATCTGCCCCCCCAGCTGATGGTGTCGGGGGCGGTGCTGGTAGCGATGGCGCAGAGGCCCTCTGTGGGGCTGGTGAGTGGGGGGAACACTTATGGGCAGCTGTGGGGTGCTATGGGCTGGCTATGGGGCAGATATGGCATGCTATGTGTTGGCTGTGGGGCAGCTGTGGGGTGCTATGGGCTAGCTATGGGGCAGCTACGGGGTGCTATGGGCTAGCTATGGGGCAGCTATGGGGTGATATGGCCTGCCTATGGGGCAGCTATCAAGTGGCTATGGGGCAGCTATGGGGCACTATAGAGTGCTGTGGGGCACTATGGGATGCTGTAGGGGTACGGTGGGGTGATATGGCTTGGCTATGGGACACGATGTGGGGCAGGTGACCTGGGGGGGGGGTGTGACCCATAGAGTGCCCCATAGGCTCACGTGTGGGGCTGCCCCATAGGCGCGGGCAGCGCTGGCCCTGGGGGTCGTGGCCTCCATCGGCTCCTTCCTGGCACTGGGGCTGCAGGGGCTGCTCCTGCCCCACACCTGCCCCACGTGCTACAACCTGGGGCCCTCCCACGAGGTAGGGGGCGCTATGGGGTCTCTATGGGTCTCTGTGTTTCTCTATGGGTCTCTGTGGGTCTCTGTGGGTCCCTATGGGTCTCTATGGGGTCTCTGTTGGTCTCTATGCATCTCAGTGTTTCTCTATGGGTCTCTATGGGGTCTCTATGGGTCCCTATGGGTCTCTATGGGTCTCTATGTGTCTCTATGGGGTCTCTGTGGGGTCTCTATGGGTCCTCTATGTGTCTCTATGGGTCTCTGTGGGGTCTCTATGGGTCTCTATGTGTCTCTATGGGTCTCTATGTGTCTCTATGGGTCTCTGTGGGGTCTCTATGGGTCTCTATGGGTCTCTATTGGGGTCTCTATGGGTCTCTATGGGTCTCTATGGGTCTCTATGGGTCTCTATGGGGTCTCTATGGGTCTCTATGGGTCTCTATGGGGTCTCTATGGGTCTCTATGGGTCTCTATGGGTCTCTATGGGGTCTCTATGGGTCTCTATGGGGTCTCTATGGGGTCTCTATGGGTCTCTATGGGTCTCTATGGGTCTCTATGGGGTCTCTATGGGTCTCTATGGGTCTCTATGGGTCTCTATGGGGTCTCTATGGGTCTCTATGTGTCTCTATGGGTCTCTATGTGTCTCTATGGGTCTCTATGGGTCTCTATGGGTCTCTATGTGTCTCTATGGGTCTCTATGGGTCTCTATGGGTCTCTATGGGTCTCTATGGGGTCTCTATGTTTCTCTATGGGTCTCTATGGGTCTCTATGGGTCTCTATGGGGTCTCTATGTGTCTCTATGGGTCTCTATGGGTCTCTATGGGGTCTCTATGTGTCTCTATGGGTCTCTATGTGTCTCTATGGGTCTCTATGGGTCTCTATGGGGTCTCTATGTGTCTCTATGGGTCTCTATGGGTCTCTATGGGTCCCTATGGGTTCCTCACCCATCCCCGCCGCCAGGGGGCGCTGCTGGGCGCGCACGCGCTCCTGATGACGTCAGCGGCGGCCGGGGCCGCCCTCGCCGTGACCGGGTCCGTGGCGGCCGCCAGGGGGCGCCCAAAGGCGGGGGGCGGGGCCGGTGAGTGCGGGGGGGGGGAGGGGAATGGGGCGGGGCCAAAAGGGGGGCGTGGCCACGACCCTGACCCCGCCCCCTCTTTGCCCCCTCCCCCCAGCCCGTTGTGATCTACCAGACGTCACTTCCTGCGTCGGGGGGCGGGGCTTAAGCGAGGCCACGCCCCACCCCCCCTTCTGGCTCCGCCCCTCAATAAAGGTCTATGGGCGCTATAGGGTGTTGTGGGGCTCTATGGGGCCTTATAGGGTTCTATAGGGCTCTATGGGGTGCTATAGGGTGTTATGGGGCTCTATGGGGTGCTATAGGATGTTATGGGGCTCTATGGGGCGCTATAGGGCTCTATGGGTGCTATAGGGTGTTACAGGGCTCCATGGGGTGCTATAGGGTGCTATAGGGCTCTATGGAGTACCATAGGGTGCTATAGGGCTCTATAGGGTGCTATGTATGGACCAGTGCATCCCAGTATGGGCCAGTATAACCCAGTATAGCCCAGTATGGACCAGTATAGCCCAGTATGGACCAGTATAGCCCAGTATAGCCCATTATGGACCAGTACATCCCATTATGGACCAGTATAACCCAGTATGGACCAGTATAACCCAGTATAACCCAGTACATCCCATTATAGACCATTACTCCCAATAGGGCACCTTAAGCCCCGCCCCTTTCCCTTAAGCCCCGCCCCCGGACGCAGCGCCCCCTAGCGGCGGTTACCAAACAGATCCTTTATTGGGGGGGGACCCCAAAACCTCCCCCCCCCCCCCAATGGGACCCCCCCATTGTGGAGGGGTCCCATTGAGGGGGGCCTATGGGGGGGACAATGGGGGGTAACAATATGGGGGTGCTATGGGGCGGGGGTCTCATATGGGTGCTATGGGGTGGGGGGACCCAATATTGGGGTGCTATGGGGTGGGGGGACCCAAAATTGGGGTGCTATGGGGCAGGGGTCTCATATGGGTGCTATGGGGTGGGGGTACCCAATATTGGGGTGCTATGGGGTGGGGGGGACCCAAAATTAGGGTGCTATGGGGCGGGATTCTCATATGGGTGCTATGGGGTGGGGGGACCCAATATTGGGGTGCTATGGGGTGGGGGGACCCAAAATTGGGGTGCTATGGGGCGGGGGTCTCATATGGGTGCTATGGGGTGGGGGGGACCCAATATTGGGGTGCTACGGGGTAGGGGTACCCAAAATTGGGGTGCTATGGGGGGGGTCCCCTATGGGTGCTATGGGAGGGGTCCCATATGGGGCAGTCCCCTTGGGGTCTATAGGGGGGTGCTATGGGGTGGGGGGTCCCAATATTGGGGTGCTATGGGGCAGGGTTCTCATATGGGTGCTATGGGGGGGGCGACCCAATATTGGGGTGCTATGGGGCGGGGGTCTCCTATGGGTGCTATGGGGTGGGGGTCCCATATGGGGTACTCCCATTGGGGTCTATAGGGGGGTGCTATGGGGTGGGGGGACCCAATATTGGGGTGCTGGGGGGGGGGTCTCCTATGGGTGCTATGGGGGGTCCTATGGGGTGGGGGGTCCCAATATTGGGGTGCTGTGGGGGGGTCCCATATGGGGCAGTCCCATTGGGGTCTATAGGGGGGTCCTATGGGGTGGAGGGTCCCAATATTGGGGTGCTATGGGGGGTCCCCTCGCGTGCAAGGTGCAATTATGGGGGGGCACCCACTTTTGGGGCACCCCCCCCTTATAATGGGTGCTGGGGGGGGGTCCCCTCTTGGGTGGGGGGGGTCCCCACAATGGGTGCCCCCCATTGGGGTGTCCTTGGCTCCGTGGGGGGGGGACACACCCCCAAATCCCCCCCTCCCCCCATCCCCATTCATTAACATGGGGGGGGAGGGGGGGGGTCATGCTCCAGGGGGCGGGGCTACGCCGTGGCCGCGGGGCTGCTGGGAAAGAGGAGGTCAATGGGGGGGGGGGGGGGGGGGGGCATTATAGAGACCCAAAATCGCTTTATTCACCCCAAAACCTTGCCCCCCCCCCCCCATTGGTGGCACTTACTGGGGGTCTTGGTCGGCTGCCGGGGGTCCGGGGGGCTGTAAAAGGGGGGGGCAATGGGGGACCCCAATATGGGGGGGGTCAGTGTATGGGGGGGGTCTCATTATCGGGGTCTATGGGGGTGGTTCCCATTATCAGGGTCTATGGGGTGGGGGTTCTATTATGGGGGGGTCCCATTATGGGGGTCTATGGGGGGGTTCCCATTATGGGGTCTATGGGGGGGTTCCCATTATCGGGGTCTATGGGTGGGGGGGTTCTTATTATCGGGGTCTATGGGGGGGTTCCCATTACGGGGGTCTATGCGGGGGTTCCCATTATCGGGGTCTATGGGGGGGGGTTCCCATTATCAGGGTCTATGGGGGGCTTCTCATTGTCGGGGTCAGTGTATGGGGGGGTTCTCATTATCGGGGTCTATGGGGGGGGTCCCATTATGGGGGTCTATGGGGGTTTTCCATTATCGGGGTCTATGGGGGGGGTTCTCATTATCGAGGTCTATGCGGGGGTTCCCATTATCGGGGTCTCTGGGGGGGGTTCTCATTATCGGGGTCTATGGGGAGTTCCCCTTATCGGGGTCTATGGGGTGGGGGTTCTATTATGGGGGTCGATGGGGGGGTTCCCATTATTGGGGTCTATGGGGCTGGTCCCATTATCGGAGTCTGTGGGGGGGTGGTTCCCATTATGGGGGTCTATGGGGGGTTCTCATTATCGGGGTCTATGGGGGGTTCACATTATGGGGGTCTATGGGGGGGTTCTCATTATCGGGGTCTATGGGGGGTTCACATTATGGGGGTCCATGGGGTGGTTCCCATTATCGGGGTCTATGGGGAGGGGGGGTCCCTTTATGGGGGTCTATGGGGGGGGGTCCCATTATCAGGTCTATGGGGTGGTTCTCATTATCGGGGTCTGTGGGGTGGTTCCCATTATCAAGGTCTATGGGGGGGGTTCTCACTATCGGGGTCTTACCTTGGCTCCGCCTTTTTGCACTTGAACTTCTTACCTGGGGGTGCAGAAAAAGAACCCAAAATGGGGCGGATTTGGGGCATTTTGGGGCGGTTTGGGGCATTTTGGTTGAAGGTGGCGTTTGGGGGCGTTTAGGGCATTTTGGGGTGTTTTGGGGCAGCTTTGTGGTGTTCTCAGGCGTTTTGGGGTGGTTTGGGGCATTTGGGGCATTTGGGGGCATTTTAGGCCCCTTTAGGGTGTTTTGGGTGGGTTCGGGGCGTTTCTTAGCGTTTTGGGGCAGTTTAGGGCGTTTTGGGCTGGTTCAGTGGTGTTTGGGCAATTTTGGGCTGGTTTGGGCTGGTTTGGGGCCATTTTAGGCCATTTTAGGCATGTTTTGGAGTGTTTTGGGGGTATTTGGGGCTGTTTTGGGTGGGTTTGGCTGGTTTAGGGGTATTTTGGGCTGATTTTTGGCGTTTTCTGGCTATTTTGGGGTATTTTGGGCTGATTTTTGGCTGTTTTGTGGGTATTTGGGGCTGATTTTGGCTGTTTTGTGGGTATTTTTCGGTGTTTGGGGCTTTTTGAGCTGTTTTGGGGTGTTTTTGGGGGGCTTTTTCTGCTGATTTTGGGGTATTTCGGGGTGTTTTAGGTTGTTTGGGGGTAATTTTGCTATTCTGGGATGGTTTAGGGGTGGTTTTGGGGCGTTTTGGGCTGATTTTGGTGTATTTGGGGCTGATTTTTGGCTGGTTTGGGGCATTTTGGGCGGGTTTGGGCTGGTTTTGGGGTATTTTTGGGTGGTTTTGGGTGTTTTGGGCTGATTTTGGGTTGTTTTGGGGCGGGGGGGCACTCACTGAGCGCGATGAGGACCCCGAGCACGAACATGACGATGGCGAGAACCAACCCCGCCAGGCGCAGGGACTCGTAATCTGTGGGGAGACCCAAAAACACCCGAAATCAACCCAAAAACACCCAAAAATCAACCCAAAACACCCCCAAAACACCTGAAATCAACCCAGAAACACCCGAAATCAACCCAAAAACACCACCAAAACACCCAAATCAACCCAAAAACACCCGAAATCAACCCAAAAACACCCCCAAAACACCTGAAATCAACCCAAAAATACCCGAAATCAACCCAAAACACCAAAAATCAACCCAAAACCACCCGAAATCAACACCCAAAAAACCCCAAACACCCGAAATCAACCCCAAATGACTCAATAACACCCGAAATCAACCCAAAACTGCTCAAAATCACCCAAACCACCCCCAAAACAGACGAAATCCACCCAAAATGACCCCAAAACACCCAAATTCAACCCAAGCCACCCGAATTCAACCCAAAACCACCCGGAATTAACCCCAAAACAGCCGAAAATTAACCCAAAATTATCCCAAACCACCGGGAATTAACCCCAAAACGCCAAAATCACCCCAAAACACCCGAAATTAACCCAAAATCCCCCCCAAACCAGCCGAAATCAGCCCCAAACCACCCCTAAAACTCCCGAAATTAACACAGAGCACCCGAAATCAACCAAAAATTTCCCAAAACCACCCGAAATTAACCCAAAATCACCCCCAAACCAGCCGAAATCACCCCCAAACCACCCCTAAAACTCCCGAAATTAACTCAGAGCCCCGAAATCAACCCAAAATTTCCCAAAACAGCCCGAAATTAACCCAAAATCAGGGAAAATCACCCAAAATTAAACCAAAACCAACCAAAATCACCCGAAATAAAACCAAAACCGCCCGAAATCACCCCAAAATGACCGAACACCGCCGAAATCAACTGAAAAAGGCACAAAACCACCCGAAATTAACCCAAAATCAACCAAAACCACCTCCCCCCCCCGAAATTAACCCAAACCGCCTAAAATCAACTCAGAAACACCCCCAAAACGCCTGAAATCAACCCAAAATCAACCAAACCACTCAAAATCTACCCAAAACCACCCCAAACCTTTCGAAATCACCCAAAATCACCCCCAAATAACACCCCAAACCAGCCCAGATCACCCTAAAACACCCAAAGCCACACAAAATCACCCAAAATCACTCCAACCCAAATCACCCCCAAAACACACCAAAATCACCCCAAAACACCAAAAAAAGAAACCAAAATTACCCAAAACACACCAAAACCACCCCAAAATCATCCAAGTCCCCCAAAACTCCTCTCTGCACCCCAAATACTCCCCTATGGGCCCCCCATATACCACAATAGCACCCCCATACACCCCTATAGCACCCCCATATACCCCTATAGCACCCCCATACACCCCTATAGCACCCCCATATACCCCTATAGCACCCCCATATACCCCTATAGCACCCCCATACACCCCTATAGCACCCCCATATACCCCTATAGCACCCCATACACCCCTATAGCACCCCCATACACCCCTATAATCACTCCCCATACACCCCTATACACCCCCATACAGCCCATAGCACCCCATACACCCCTATAGGCACCCCCATATACCCCTATAGCACCCCCATACACCCCTATAGGCTCCCCATACACCCCATAGCACCCCATACACCCCTATAGCACCCCCATACACCCCTATAACACCCCCATATACCCCTATAGCACGCCCATACACCCCTATAACACCCCATAGCACCCCCATAGCACCCCCATATACCCCTATAGCACCCCCATACACCCCTATAGCACCCCCATACACCCCATAGCACCCCCATACACCCCTATAGCACCCCCATACACCCCTATATCACTCCCCATACACCCCTATAGCACCCCCATACAGCCCATAGCACCCCATACACCCCTATAGCACCCCCAATACACCCCTATAGCACCCCATTTACCCCTATAGCACCCCCCATACACCCCTATAGCACCCCCATACACCCCTATATCACTCCCCATACACCCCTATAACACCCCCATACAGCCCATAGCACCCCAATACACCCCTATAGCACCCCCATATACCCCTATAGCACCCCCATACACCCCTATAGCTCCCCATACACCCCTATAGCACCCCATACACCCCTATAGCACCCCCATACACCCCTATAACACCCCCATATACCCCTATAGCACGCCCATACACCCCTATACACCCCATAGCACCCCCATAGCACCCCCATATACCCCTATAGCACCCCCATACACCCCTATAGCACCCCCATACACCCCATAGCACCCCCATACACCCCTATAGCACCCCCATACACCCCTATATCACTCCCCATACACCCCTATAGCACCCCCATACAGCCCATAGCACCCCCATACACCCCTATAGCACCCCCATACACCCCTATAGCTCCCCCATACACCCCTATAGCACCCCCATACACCCCCATAGCACCCCCGTACACCCCTATAGCTCCCCCATACACCCCTATAGCACCCCCATAGCACCCCCGTACACCCCTATAGCACCCCCATATACCCCTATAGCACCCCCATACACCCCTATAGCTCCCCCATACACCCCTATAGCACCCCCATACACCCCATAGCACCCCCATATACCCTCTATAGCCCCCCCATATACCCCTATAGCACCCCCATACACCCCTATAGCACCCCCATATACCCCTATAGCACCCCCATATACCCCTATAACACCCCCATATACCCCTATAGCACCCCCATACACCCCTATAGCACCCCCATATACCCCTATAACACCCCCATATACCCCTATAGCACCCCCATACACCCCTATAACACCCCCATATACCCCTATAGCACCCCCATACACCCCTATAGCACCCCCATATACCCCTATAGCACCCCCATACACCCCTATAGCACCCCCATACACCCCATAGCACCCCATACACCCCTATGGCCCCCCCATATCTCACCGTAGTTAAAGGGGTCCTTGGCCCGAGCGGCTTCTGGAGGGGGGGGGGATGGGAATAGGGGGGGATCCCATGGGATGGGGCTGGGATCAATCCCCCCCCCCCCCCCCCCCCCGATGCGGGCGCAGCCGCAGCGCAACGCGCAGTGCGGGGCCGCGCAGCCCATAGCGCCCCATAGCGCCCCATAGCATCCATCCGGTACCCACCTGTATCCTGCCCCCCCCACCCCAGCATCCATCCTGCACCCCATAGCACCCTATAGCCCCAATAGCACCCTATAGCCCCCATAGCACCCCAATAGCAGCCTATAGCACCCCAGTAGCAGCCTATAGCCCCCCAATAGCCGCCTATAGCACCCCATTAGCAGCCTATAGCGCCCCATAGCATCCATCCTGCACCCACCTGTATCCTGCAGCCAGCACCCCATTAGCATCCCCATAGCACCCTATAGCCCCCCATAGCACCCAATAAGCAGCCTATAGCACCCCATAGCAGCCTATAGCACCCCCTAAGCAGCCTGTAGCACCCCAATAGCAGCCTATAGCGCCCTATAGCATCCATCCTGCACCCACCTGTATCCTGCACCCAGCACCCCATTAGGATCCCCATAGCACCCTATAGCCCCCCATAGCCCCCGTAGCACCCAATAAGCAGCCTATAGCACCCCAATAGCAGCCTATAGCACCCCAATAGCAGCCTGTAGCACCCCAATAGCAGCCTATAGCGCCCCATAGTACCCTATAGCATCCATCCTGCACCTACCTGTATGCTGCACCCAGCACCCCGTTAGCATCCCCGTAGCACCCATCCTGCACCCCATAGCACCCCATAGCGCCCCTCCTGCGCCCCATAGCATCCGCCCTGCATGCTGCATCACCCTGCACCCACCCTGCACCCACCTGTATCCTGCACCAAACACCCGATAGCACCCATCCTGCATCCCCATAGCGTCCCATAGCACCCATTAGGCACCCCATAGCACCCATTAGCACCCCATAGCACCCTTTAGCACCCCATAGCACCTATCCTGCATCCCCATAGCACCCTATAGCACCCATCCTGCATCCCATAGCATCCCCCCCGCATCACGTCCCCATCAGCATCCACCTGTATCCTGCACCCAGCACCCTATAGCATCCCCATAGCCCCCCCAGAGCCCCATTAGCACCCCATAGCAGCCATAGCACCCCCTAGAGCCCCATTAGCACCCCTAGCACCCCATAGCAGCCATTAGCACCCCATACATCCCTCCCTGCATCCTTCACCCCTCAGCATCCATCCTGCACCCACCTCCCCATAGCGCCCCATAGCAACAACTAGCACCCCATAGCAACAACTAGCACCCCATAGAGCCCCATTAGCACCCATAGCGCTCCATAGCACCCCATAGCATCCTCCCCTGCATCCTTCACCCCTCAGCATCCATCCTGCACCCACCCCCCCCAGCACCCCATAGCAGCCATTAGCACCCCATAGCACCCATCCTGCACCCCATAGCATCCCTCCCTGCATCCTTCATCCCTCAGCATCCACCCTGCACCCACCTGTATCCTGCACCCATCGGGCCCCATAGAGCCCCATAGCACCCCATAGCGCCCCATAGCGCCCCATAGAGCCCCATAGCGCCCCATAGCGCCCCATAGCGCCCGTACCCCCCATAGCTGCCTCCGTAGGGGTCGCCATGGCTCTCGGCTCCCTTCGGCTCCACTCGGTACCGGAGCGATGCGGCAGCGGGGGGGGGGGGGGGGGGGGGGGGGGGGGGGAGGAGATGCGGAGGCCACGCCCACCGGAGCAGGACCCCCCTCCCCCCCATAATGGGAGCAAAACCACCCAGAAACGCTGTAAAACGGCCCCAAAACGGCTTGAATCGGCCTAAAAAACGGTTTAAAGCAGCCGAAAAACGCTTTAAAGCAGTCAAAAACGCTTTAAGTCAGCCTAAAAATGATCTAAAACAGCCAAACCAGTTTTAAATCAGCTTAAAAATGGTTGAAAGCAGCCCAAAACGCTTTAAATCACCCCAAAACCGCTTTAAAGCAGCCCCAAAACGCTTTAAAGCAGCAAAAACCGCTTTAAAGCAGCCTAAAAATGGTTTTAAAGCAGCCCAAAACGCCTTAAATTGCCCCCAAAACGCTTTATAGCAGCCAAAAACGCTTTAAGGCAGCCTAAAAATGAGCCGAAACAGCCAAACCCGCTTTAAATCAGCCCAAAAAACTGGTTTAAATCAGCCCAAAACGCTTTAAATCACCCAAAAACGCCTTATTGCAGCTCCCAAACTCTTTAAAGCGGCCAAAACAGCTTTAAATCAGCCTAAAAAATGGTTTAAATCAGCCTAAAAACGGTTTAAATCATCCCAAAACGCTTCATAGCAGCCCCCAAGCGCTTTAAAGCAGCCAAAAACGCTTTAAGGCAGCCTAAAAATGGTTTAAATCAGCCCAAAACTCTTTAAATCACCCCAAAAACGCTTCATAGCAGCCCCCAAACGCTTTAAAGCAGCCAAAACCACTTTAAGGCAGCCTAAAAAGATCTTAAACAGCCTAAAAATGGTTTAAATCAGCCTAAGAATGGTTTAAATCATCCCAAAACGCTTTATAACAGCCCCAAAATGCTTTAAATAGGCCCAAAACGCTTTAAATTGGCCCAAAATGCTTTAAATCAGCCCAAAACGCTTTATAGCAGTCCCAAAACGCTTTAAATCAGCCCAAAACGCTTTATAACAGCCCCAAAACGCTTTAAATCAGCCCAAAACGCTTTATAGCAGCCCCAAAATGCTTTAAATGAGCCAAAAACGCTTTATAGCAGCCCCAAAATGCTTTAAATCAGCCAAAAACGCTGTAAATGAGCTCAAACCCACTTGAAATCAGCCCCAAACCGCTTTAAATCAGCCTAAAATGCTTTAAATCAGCCGAAAATGCCTTAAATCAGCCTAAAATGCTTTAAATCAGCCTAAAATGCTTTAAATCAGCCTAAAATGCCTTAAATCAGCCGAAAATGCCTTAAATCAGCCTAAAATGCTTTAAATCAGCCTAAAATGCTTTAAATCAGACTAAAATGCCTTAAATCAGACTAAAATGCCTTAAATCAGACTAAAATGCCTTAAATTGCTCCAAACCCGCCTTAACCCCCAAACCACCTTAATTCACCCCAAAACCACTTTAACCCCCCCAAACCACCTTTTCACCCCAAACCACCTTAATTCACCCCAAAACCACCTTAATAACCCCCAAACCACCTTAATTCACCCCGAAAACACCTTAACCCCCTAAACCACCTTAATTCACCCCAAAACCACCTTAACCCCTCAAACCACCTTAATTCACCCCAAAACCACCTTAACCCCTAAACCACCTTAATTCACCCCAAACCACCTTAATTCACCCCAAAACCACCTTAATAACCCCCAAACCACCTTAATTCACCCCGAAAACACCTTAACCCCCTAAACCACCTTAATTCACCCCAAAACCACCTTAACCCCTCAAACCACCTTAATTCACCCCAAAACCACCTTAACCCCCAAACCACCTTAATTCACCCCAAAACCACCTTAACTCCCCAAACCACCTTAATTCACCCCAAAACCACCTTAATTCACCCCAAAACCACCTTAATTCACCCCAAAACCACCTTAACCCCTAAACCACCTTAATTCACCCCAAAACCACCTCAACCCCCTAAACCACCTTAATTCACCCCAAAACCACCTTAATTCACCCCAAACCACCTTAACCCCCAAACCACCTTAATTCACCCCAAAACCACCTTAACCACCAAACCACCTTAATTCACCCCCAAACCACCTTAATTCACCCCAAAACCCCTTAATTCACCCCCAAACCACCTTAATTCACCCCAAAACCACCTTAATTCACCCCCAAACCACCTTAATTCACCCCGAAAACACCTTAATTCACCCCCAAACCACCTTAATTCACCCCCAAACCACCTTAATTCACCCCGAAAACACCTTAATTCACCCCAAAACCACCTTAACCCCTCAAACCACCTTAATTCACCCCAAAACCACCTTAATTCACCCCAAACCACCTTAATTCACCCCAAAACCACCTTAATTCACCCCAAACCACCTTAATTCACCCCCAAACCACCCCAAAACCACCTTAAACCACCCCCAAACCCCATTGGTCAACCAAGAGGCGATGGACACCATCGGAGGCGCTCATTGGCCGTGACTTGATGCCATTGGAGCCCCCCCATTGGTTATGGGGTGGGGGGGGGGTCATTTATTGGGGGGGGGGCAGGAGTTGGGGGGTGTCCATGTGTCCATCCACGTCCTCCTATAGGGACCCCTATAGGACCCCCCCATAGGGACCCTCAATAGGACCCCCATAGGGACCCCCTATAGGACTCCCCCATAGAACCCCCCCAATGGGACCCCCATTGGATGCCCCATAGGGACCCTCCCCATAAGACCCCCATAGGACCCCCCCCTTTCAACCTCCCCTATAGAACCGCCCCTATAGGATCCCCCCTATAGGAACCCCCCAGATGGGACACCCCCCAATAGAGACCCCCTATAGGTCCCCCCTATAGGACCCCCCCATAGGTCCCCCCTATAGGAACTCCCCTATAGGAACCCCCAAATAGGACACCCACCTATAGGTCCCCCCATAGGTCCCCCTATATGTCCCCTCCATAGGTCCCCCCCATAGGTCCCCCCTATAGGACCCCCTCATAGGTCCCCCCTATAGGTCCCCCCCACAGGTCCCCCCCATAGGTCCCCCCCTATAGGTCCCCCCTATAGATCCCCCCTATAGGTCCCCCCCACATGTCCCCCCCATAAGTCCCCCCCCCCCATAAGTCCTCCCCATAGATCCCCCCATAGGTCCCCCCCATAGATCCCCCTATAGGTCCCCCCCATAGATCCCCCTATAGGTCCCCCCCATAGGTTCCCCCCATAGGTTCCCCCCATAGGTCCCCCCCATAGATCCCCCCATTCTCACCCTCTTCATCTCATCCTTGTGGACAAACCTATATGGGAGAGGGGGCGTGGCTTGAGAGGAGGGGGCGTGGCCTGAGGCTGAGGCCCCGCCCGCCCGCCCCTCGCAGCCAATCACTTACGGCGGATGCTCTGACGTAGCGGCCCCTCATCCTCATCGGGCTCTCCCGTCCTGGAGGGGGACACACCAGTATAAACCAATGTAGACCAGTATAGACCAGTATAGACCAGTATAACCCAGTATAGACCAGTATAAACCAGTATAGACCAGAATACACCAGTATAGACCAGTATAGCCCAGTATAGCTCAGCATAGACCAGAATACACCAGTATAGACCAGTATAACCCAGTGACCCCCCAGTATAACCCAGTATAGCCCAGTATACACCAGTGATACCCCCCAGTATACCCCAGTGACGCCCCCCAGTATACCCCAGTGCCCCCCCAGTGCCCCCCAGTGCCCCCCAGTATAACCCAGTATAACCCAGTTACTTTGGCTGTTGGTCGAACTTGCAGCGGCAGCGGCGGCCTGGGAGGACGGAGACGTTTAAGGGGCGTTTTGGGGCGTTTTGGGGCGTTTTGGGGCATTTAAGGGCGTTTGGGGGCGTTTGGGAGGGTTTGAGAGCGTTTGGGGGCGGTTTGGGGTGGTTTGAGGGCGTTTGGGGGCATTTAAGGGTGTTTGGGGGCGTTTGGGAGGGTTTGAGAGCGTTTGGGGGCGTTTTGGGGCATTTGGGGAGCGTTTAGGGGCATTTAAGGGCGTTTGGGGGCATTTGGGAGGGTTTGAGAGTGTTTGGGGGCGTTTCGGGGCGGTTTGGGGGCGTTTTGGGGCATTTAAGGGCGTTTGGGGGGCGTTTGGGGACGTTTATGGGCGTTTGGGGGTGTTTGGGGGGCATTTAAGGGCTTTGGGGGGCATTTGGGGGCGTTGGGAGTGTTTGGGAGCATTTTGGGGCATTTTGGGGGCGTTTGGGGGCGTTTTGAGGCATTTGGGGCATTTTGGGGGTGTTCTGGGGTATTATGGGGTGTGAATGGGGGCTATGGGGGGGTTTGGGGACATTTTGAGGTGTTTGGGGGCATTTGGGGGGTGTTTTGGGCTGTTTTGGGGCTGTTTTGGGTCCTGTATCACGCACTGAGGATGAGGAGGATGCCCAGGAGGAAGAGGACGCCGGCGAAGATGAGGCCCCCGACGCGCAGGGACTCATAGTCTGTGTATGGGCACATGTATGTACAGCTACATGTATGTACATGTGTGTACAGCCCATATACATGTATACACCCGTGTATGGGTACAGCAACATGCATGTACAGCCACATACATGTACAGCCACATACATGTACACATGTACAGCCACATACATGTACATGCGTGTTCTCACCATAGCTGAAGCGATCCTGGTCCGAGGGGGGCTCTAGATGGGGGGGTGGTGGTGTTTAATGATCACATGACCAGGGTCATGTGTGTCCGCCCCCATGGACCCCCCCTTTACCTGCAGCTGGGGCCATGGGACAACACGCAATGACACGCAATGACACGTGTGTGAGAGCCTGGGGGGGTGGAGAGAGAACACGTGTGTGTGACGTCATGGGGTGTCATACGTGTGCGTGCAATGGGCTTAAAATGGGGGGAAATGGGCAAAATTGGGGGAAAGCAGGCAAAAAGCGGGCAAAATTGGGGGAAAACGGGGAAAATAGAGGGAAAAGGCAAAAAATAGAGGAAAATGGGGAAAATCTGGGAAAGGTGGGCAAAAATGGGAGGAAATGGGCAAAAAAATGGGCAAAATCAAGGAAAAATGGGGAGAAAGAGGGAAAAGTGGGAAAACCTGAAGAAAAACTCAGAACTGGGCCAGAACCAGGGCAAAATGGGCAAAAGTGAGGAAAAGCTGGGGGAAAATGGGCAAAAATGGGGCAAAACGGGCAAAACCAGGGGGAAATGGGCACAAATAAGGGAAAATGGGAAAACTTCAGTGGAAACGGGGAAAAATGAAGGGAAACGCACAAAAAATTGGGAAAAAGAGGGAAAACTGGATAAAACCAGGGGAAAATGAGGGAAAACATGGGAGAAATGGGCAAAACCAGGGAAAAAACTGGGAAATGGGCAAAAATAAGGGAAAAGGGGCAAAACCCGGGCAAAAGTAACAGAAGTAACAAGAAAGGGACTAAGAAGTGGATTAAACTGAAAGCGATGTCAAAACCGGTGAAAATGGTGTTAGAACGGGTGAAAACGGTGTCAAAACGGGTGAAAACGATGTTAAAACGGGTGAAAACGTTGTTAAAACGGGTGAAAACGGTTTAAACAGGCTGAAAGACGTGTTAAAACGGGCAAAAACGGGTGAAAACGGTGTTAGAACAGGTGAAAACGGTGTCAGACGGGGGAAAGCAGCGTTAGAACGAGTGAAAACGGTGTCAGAACGGGTGAAAACGATGTTAAAACTGTGAAAACGTTGTTAAAATGGGTGAAAACGGTTTAAACAGGCTGAAAACGGTGTCAGAACGGGTGAAAACGATGTTAAAACGGGTGAAAACGTTGTTAAAATGGGTGAAAACGGTTTAAACAGGCTGAAAACGGCGTCAGAACGGGTGAAAACGATGTCAAAACGGGTGAAAACGGTGTCAGAACGGGTGAAAACGGTGTCAGAACGGGTGAAAACGGTGTTAGAAGGGGTGAAAACGGTGTCAGAACGGGTGAAAACGGCGCCAGAACGGGTGAAAACGGTGTTAGAAGGGGTGAAAACGGCGTTAGAACGGGTGAAAACGGTGTTAGAAGGGGTGAAAACGGTGTTAGAAGGGGTGAAAACGGTGTTAGAAGGGGTGAAAACGGTGTTAGAAGGGGTGAAAACGGCGTCAGAACGGGTGAAAACGGTGTTAGAAGGGGTGAAAACGGTGTTAGAAGGGGTGAAAACGGTGTTAGAAGGGGTGAAAACGGCGTTAGAAGGGGTGAAAACGGCATTAGAACGGGTGAAAACGGTGTTAGAACGGGTGAAAACGGCGTTAGAAGGGGTGAAAACGGCGTTAGAACGGGTGAAAACGGCTTTAGAAGGGGTGAAAACGGTGTTAGAAGGGGTGAAAACGGTGTCAGAACGGGTGAAAACGGTGTCAGAACGGGTGAAAACGGCGTCAGAACGGGTGAAAACGGTGTCAGAACGGGTGGAAAACGGTGTTAGAAGGGGTGAAAACGGCTACAAACGGTGAATAAGGGCGGAAAACGGTCCCCGGAGTCGCCCCAACTGGGGGCAACGGCCGTTGCCGTGGAAACGTGACCTTGATCCCTGCCCCGCCCCATCCCGGCAATGGACCCCTCTGTGCTGGGGGCAATGGGGGGCAATGGGGGGCAATGGGGAGCAATGGGGAGCAATGGGGACAATGGGGGGCAATGGGGGCAATGTGGGGCAATGTGGGCAATGGGGGGCAATGGGGCAATGGGGACAATGTGGGGCAATGGGGGGCAATGGGGACAATGGGGGGCAATGTGGGGCAATGGGGGGCAATGGGGACAATGGGGGGCAATGGGGCAATGTGGGGCAATGGGGGCAATGGGGGGCAATGGGGACAATGGGGGGCAATGGGGGGCAATGTGGGGCAATGGGGGAATGGGGAACAATGGGGACAATGGGGGCAATGGGGGGCAATGGGGGGCAATGTGGGGCAATGTGGGGCAATGGGGGGCAATGGGGGGCAATGGGAAGCCCCCCCCATAGGACTCGGGGTCACCCAAGGTCAAGGTCCCCCCCCCGTACCTCGATCCCGAGCGCGGCTCCCCCCAAGCGCGGCTCCCCCCAAGGCCCCGCCCCCTCCCCAGGCCCCGCCCCCTCCCCCCCCGATGCCCCGCCCCCCCGGGTTATCTTTAGCCCTTTGGGACCCAAAATAGCGCTGACGTCAGCGGGAGCGCCAGGGGCCCCCCTACCCCCCCATTGACACCCAAGGACCCCACATAGACCCCGATAGCCCCCCATAGACCCCCCATAGAGCCCTCTATAGCCCCCCATAGCCCTCCCTATAGCCCCCATAGACCCCCCATAGAGCCCTCTATAGCCCCCCATAGCCCTCCCTATAGCCCCCCATAGCCCTCCCTATAGCCCCCCATAGACCTCCCTATAGCCCCCCATAGACCCCCCATAGAGCCCTCTATAGCCCCCCATAGCCCTCCCTATAGCCCCCCATAGACCTCCCTATAGCCCCCCCATAGACCCCCTATAGGATCCGATATAGCCCCCTATAGACCCCCCCATAGACCCCTTTATAGCCCCCATATAGACCCCCTTAGAGCCCCCCTATAGCCTTCCCTATAGCCTCCCATAGATCACCCTAGCCGTGCCATAGACCCCCCTATAGCCCCCCCATAGGACCCGAAATAGTCCCCCTATAGACCTCCTATAGCCCCCCATAGACCCCCAATAGCCCCCATGTAGCTCCCCTATAGACCCCCCATTGGACCCCCTATAGACCCCCCTATACCCCCCATTGACCCCCCTATAGCCCCCCATAGACCCCCAATAGAACCTGATATAGCCCCACTATAGCCCCCCATAGACCCCCCAATAGCCCTTCTATAGACCCCCCATAACCGCCCTATAGCCCCCCATAGACCCCCATAGTCCCCCCATAGACCCCACTATATCCTCCCCATACCCCCCCATAGCCCCCCCATAGCCCCCCTATAGACCCCCCTATAGGACCCCCTATAGCCCCCCCTATAGCCCCCCCATTGCCCCCCATACAAAGCCCCCTTTGTCCCCCCCTTGGCCCTGGGCCCCGCTCCAACAGCGGCGCCTTTGTCCGAAGGGGGGGGCCCCCGAGAGGGGGCGTGGCCTCCGGTGTGGGGGCGTGACCGTAAGCCCCGCCCCATTGCCCCGCCCAGCCAATCCGGAGCCGCCATCGAGCCGAGCCGCTGCCATAGGGAGCAATAAGGGGGGGGGGGGGCCGAGGCTTTTGGGGGGGCTCTTTTGGGGGGGGGGGCAAATAAAGGGGGGGCAGTTATAGGGGAGTCAATTGGGGGGGCTATAGGGGGTAATTGGGGTCTATAGGGGGTAATTGAGGATCTATGGGGTAATTGGGGGTCTATAGGGGGTAATTGGGGGTCTATAGGGGGTAATTGGGGGGTCTATAGGGGTAATTGAGGATCTATGGGGGTAATTGGACTCTATAGAGGGTAATTGGGGGTCTATAGGGGGTATTGGGGGGTCTATAGGGGGTAATTGGACTCTATAGGGGGTAATTGGGGTTCTATAGGGGACAATTGAGGGTCTATAGGGGGTAATTGGGGTTCTATAGGGGGTATTGGGGGGTCTATAGGGGGTGATTGGGCTCTATAGGGGTAATTGGGGTTCTATAGGGGATAATTGAGGGTCTATACGGGGTAATTGGGGGTCTATAGGGGGTAATTGGGGTCTATAGGGGGTAATTGGGGGGTCTATGTGAGGATTTGGGGGTCTATAGGGTGTAATTGAGGGCCTATAGGGGGTAATTGGGGGTCTATAGGGGATAATAGGGGGTCTACAGGGGGTAATTGGGGTCTATAGGGGGTAATTTGGGTTCTATAGGGGGTAGTGGGGGGTCTATAGGGGGTAATTGAGGGTCTATAGGGGGGCATTGCGGGGGTCCATAGGGGTCCATTGGGGGGCCCCATTATAGGGGTGCCCATGGGGGGGGTCCGGGGCCGCCGGGGGCCCCCCCCCTTGGTCCTGGCCCTGTTGGTGCTGCTGGGGGGGGGCCCCATAGGGCAGACCCATTGCGGCTGCCCGGGGGGGTGCGACTGCGACCCAGAGAGCGCCCTCTGCAGGGGGGGGGCGGGATTGCCCCGGGGGCTGCCCCCCCGCCTGGCCACGCTGTGAGTGATGGGGACCCCCTATAGCACCCCCATTGGAACCCCCCCCATAACCCCCCATTGGGACCCCCCCATAACCCCCCCATTTGGATCAACCCCATAACCCCCCTATTGGGACTCCCCCATAGCCCCCCCATTGGGCCCCCCATTGGGACCCCCCCATAACCCCCCTATTGGGACCCCCCCATAACCCCCATTGGGACCCCCCCATTGGGATCCCCCCATAGCCCCCCTATTGGGACCCCCCATAACCCCACATTGGGACCCCCCATAACTCCCCATTGGGACCCCCCATAACCCCCTATTGGGACCCCCCCATAACCCCCCATTGGGACCCCCCCACTGCCCCCCCCCATAACCCCCCATTGGGAACCCCCCACTGGGACCCCCCCATTGGGCCCCCCCCATAACCCCCCCATTGGGACCCCCCCCCATAACCCCCTCATTGGGATCCCCCCACAACCCCCCTATTGCCCCCCTATTGGACCCCCCCTTTAGACCCCCATTGCCCCCCCCCTCGGAACATTCCGCCCCCTTTAGACCCCCCCTTATGGGCCCCCACCCGTGACGTCATCGCCTTAGCCCCACCCCCTGCTCGGGAGGGGGAGGTTGGGGGGGGACCTCGGGTCCTTTACTCCCAGTTTAACCCCATTAGACCCCAGTTTAACCCAGTTTAACCCCATTAGACCCCAGTTTAACCCCATTAGATCCCGGTTTGACCCAGTTTAGCTCACTTTAACCCAATTTAGTCCAGTTTAACCCCATTTCACCCCAGTTTAACCCTGTCCACCCCAGTCCATCCCAGTTTAACCCAGTCCATCCCAGTCCCATCCCATTCCCATCCCAGTCCATCCCATTCCCATCCCAATCCATCCCATTCCCATCCCAGTCCATCCCAGTCCATCCCAATCCATCCCATTCCCATCCCAGTCCATCCCATTCCCATCCCAATCCATCCCATTCCCATCCCAGTCCATCCCAGTCCATCCCAGTCCATCCCATTCCCATCCCAATCCATCCCAATCCATCCCAGTCCATCCCAGTCCATCCCAGTCCATCCCATTCCCATCCCAGTCCATCCCAGTCAATCCCAGTCCCATCCCAGTCCATCCCAGTCCATCCCAGTCCATCCCAGTCCATCCCATTCCCATCCCAGTCCATCCCAGTCCATCCCATTCCCATCCCAGTCCATCCCATTCCCATCCCAGTCCATCCCAGTCCATCCCAGTCCATCCCAGTCCATCCCATTCCCATCCCAATCCATCCCATTCCCATCCCAGTCCATCCCAGTCCATCCCAGTCCATCCCAGTCCCATCCCATTCCCATCCCAGTCCATCCCAGTCCATCCCAGTCCATCCCAGTCCATCCCAGTCCCATCCCTCTCTCCGCAGGTCCCTGGTTCGCCGCCACATCGAGGTGCTGGGGGAAGGCAGCTTCCGGGACACCCCGGCCCTACAGCTGCTGTAAGGACCCAGCCAGGCCCCTATGGGGCCCTATGGGGCTCTCTGGTGTCCCTATGGGGCCCTAAGGGACTTTATGGTGTCCCTATGAGGCTGTATGGTGGCGCTATGGTGGCCCTATGGGGCCCTATGGTGTCACTATGGGGCCACTATGGTGTCCCTATGTTCCCTATAGGGTCCCTATGGTGTCCCTATGTTCCCTATAGGGCCCCTATGGTGTCCCTTTGGTCCCTGTACTGTCCCTGTGGTGTCCCTATGGTCTCTATGCTGTCCCTATGGCGTCCCTATGGTCCCTATACTGTCCCTATGGTCCCTATAGTGTCCCTATGGTCCCTATAGTGCCCCTATAGTGTCCCTATGGTGTCTCTATAGGTGTCCCTATGGTCTCTATACTGTCCATATAGTGCCCCTATAGGGTCCCTATGGTGTCCCTATGGTCTCTATACTGTCCCTATAGTGCCCCTATAGGGTCCCTATGGTGTCCCTATGGTCTCTATACTGTCCCTATAGTGCCCCTATAGGGTCCCTATGGTGTCCCTATGGTCTTCATACTGTCCCTATAGTGCCCCTATAGGGTCCCTATGGTGTCCCTATGGTCTCTATACTGTCCCTATAGTGCCCCTATAGGGTCCCTATGGTGTCCCCACAGGTTGATCACTGCCGGGCACTTGGGGACCATTGGGGACGGGGCCTTCTCTGGCCTGGTGCTGCTGGAGTACCTGTGAGTGGCACTGGGATGGACAGGGATAGACTGGGATGGAATGGGATAGACTGGGATGGACTGGGATAGACTGGGATGGACTGGGATAGACTGGGATGGACTGGGATGGACTGGGATGGACTGGGATAGACTGGGATGGACAGGGATAGACTGGGATAGACTGGGATGGACTGGGATAGACTGGGATGGACAGGGATAGACTGGGATAGACTGGGATGGACTGGGATAGACTGGGATGGACTGGGATAGACTGGGATGGAATGGGATAGACTGGGATGGACTGGGATAGACTGGGATGGACTGGGATGGACTGGGATAGACTGGGATGGACAGGGATAGACTGGGATAGACTGGGATGGCACTGGGATGGACTGGGATAGACTGGGGTAGACTGGGATAGACTGGGATAGACTGGGAGGGCAGTGGGGCTATGCTGGTCCTTACTGGTCCTTACTGGACGTCCCTGGTGACCCCAGGTTCATTGAGGACAACGATGTGGGCTCCATCGCCCCAACAGCGCTGAGGGGGCTCCGGGGGCTGCTCTACCTGTGAGTCAATGGGGGGCTCTATGGGGCTCTATGGAGTCTCTATGGGGCTCTATGGGGCTCTATGGGGCTCTATGGAGTCTCTATGGGGCTCTATGGGGCTCCCATACCCCATACCCCCTATCCCATGCCCCATAGGAGTTTGGCCAACAACCGCTTGGAGACGCTGCCCAAGGGCCTCTTCCAAGGCCTGGAGACGCTGACCCAGCTGTAGGTGACATGGGGGGGCTATGGGGGTCCCCATTGATCCCCATTGACCCCCGGTTGATCCCCATTGATCCCCATTGGGCCCCATTGATCCCCATTGACCCCCATTGATCCCCATTGGGCCCCATTGACCCCCATTGGGCCCCATCAACTCCATTGAGCCCCATTGACTCTATTGAGCTCCATTCATTGACCCCCATTGGGCCCCATTGATCCCCATTGACCCCCATTGGGCCCCATTAACTCCATTGAGCTCCACTGACTCCATTGATTTCCACTGACTTCATTGATCCCCATTGGTCCCCACTGATCCTCATTGGCCCCCATTGAGATCCATTGATCCCCACTGGTCCCCATTGGGCCCCATTGATCCCCATTGGGCCCCATTGACCCCCATTGGGCCCCATCAACTCCATTGAGCCCCATTGACTCTATTGAGCTCCATTCATTGACCCCCATTGGGCCCCATTGATCCCCATTGGGCCCCATTAACTCCATTGAGCTCCACTGACTCCATTGAGTTCCACTGACTTCATTGATCCCCATTGGTCCCCACTGATCCTCATTGGCCCCCCATTGAGATCCATTGATCCCCACTGGTCCCCATTGGTCCCCATTGATCCCCACCGGTCCCTATGGGGCAGGGACCTCCGGGGGAACCCGTTCCAATGCAACTGCCGCCTGCGCTGGGTCGTGTCCTGGTTGGGCAGCGTCACGATCCCCACGGAGCCGGGGCGGTGCCATGGCCCCCCCCAGCACCAGGGAACCCCATTGGAGCAGCTCCAGCCCCGCGACTTCCAGTGCCTCAGCTCAGGTATGGGGCTGACCCAGAGGAACCCAGCATGGACCCATAGAAACCCACTGGAACCCATTGGAACCCACCATAACCCCTTGGAACCCACCATAACCCCTTGGAACCCACCATAGACCCATTGGAACCCACCATAGACCCATTGGAGCCCGTCATAGACCCGTAGGAACCCATCGGAACCCATCATAGACCCATAGGAACCCACCATAGACCCATAGGAACGCACAGGAACCCATCATGAACCCAAAGGAACCCATATCCTGACCCACAGGAACCCATCATGAGCCCATAGGAAGCCATGATGGACCACAGAAACCCATTATGCACCCATGGGAACCACATCCAGACCCATAGGAACCTTGTCTTGACCTATAGGAACCACATCCAGACCTATAGAAACCCATGGCGGTCCATGGGAACCCAACATGGACCTATGGGAACCCATCATAGCCCTATGGGAACCCATCATAGCCCTATAGGAACCCATCATAGCCCTATGGGAAACCATCATAGCCCTATGGGACCCCCCACCCTGACCCATAACAACCCCTGGGATCCCCATCCCAACCCCACCCTGGCCCCCCTGGAACCCCATTGCAGGCATCCAGGCCCTGATGGGACCATGGGGTTGCCCCATAGAGCTTCGCCCCTTCCAGTCCCTGCCCTTCTCCTCGCTGGCGGCCGAGCCCTTTGCTATGGGGGGACACCCAGGGTTGGCCTTGGCCCAGCCCTTCAATGGGGCTTGTGCCCTACTGGAATGGGACCAGTTGGCGGGGCGCTTCCGGGCCCCCACCATCATCAATGGTGAGTCCCATTGAGCCCCATCCCCACCCCATACCCATTGAGCCCCATCCCCACCATATACCCATTGAGCCCCATCCCCACCCCATCCCCATTGAGCCCCATTCACACCCCAAACCCACTGAGCCCCATCCCCACCCCATACCCATTGAGCCCCATCCCCACCATATACCCATTGAGCCCCATCCCCACCCCATCCCCATTGAGCCCCATTCACACCCCAAACCCACTGAGCCCCATCCCCACCCCATACCCATTGAGCCCCATCCCCACCATATACCCATTGAGCCCCATTCACACCCCATACCCATTGTGCCCCATCCCCACCATATTCCCATTGAGCCCCATTCACACCCCAAACCCACTGAGCCCCATCCCCACCCCATACCCATTGAGCCCCATCCCCACCATATACCCATTGAGCCCCATTCACACCCCATACCCATTGTGCCCCATCCCCACCATATTCCCATTGAGCCCCATTCACACCCCATACCCATTGAGCCCCATCCCCACCTCATACCCACTGAGCCCCATATGCACCCCATACCCATTGAGCCCCATCCCCACCTCATACCCATTGTGCCCCATCCCCACCCCATCCCCATTGAGCCCCATCCCCACCCCATACCCATTGAGCTCCATCCCCACTGACCCCCATCCCCATCCCCACCCCATCCCCATTGACCCCATCCCCACTGACCCCCATCCCCATCCCCACCCCATCCCCACCTCCCCCATCCCCATTGACCCCCATCCCCACTGACCCCCATCCCCACCCCATCCCCACCTCCCCCATCCCCATCCCCGTTGCCCCCCCTCCCCATTGAACCCCATCCCCACTGACCCCCATCCCCACTGACCCCCATCCCCACCCCATCCCCATTGACCTCCATCCCCACCTCCCCCATCCCTGTTGCCCTCCCTCCCCATTGAGTTCCATCCCCACTGACCCCCATCCCCATTGACCCCCCTCCCCATTGCCCCCCATCCCCACCTCCCCCCTCCCCACCTCCCCCCATCCCCACTGACCCCCATGCCCATCTCCGCCCCACAGGCACTGCCCCCGTCGCCTGCCACCCTCTGCCCCTCGGGGGGTCCCTGGTGTTGGTCATGGCCCAGCTCAGCGGCGGCTCCTCCGTGTGGCGCCGCTCCGGGGGCCCCGGCTCCCGCTTCGTGCGGCTCCAGGCGCTGGGGGGCGGCCGCTTGCGCCGGCCCCACGCCGTGGCCAGCGCCCGCCTCGGCGGCCACTGGTACCTGGGGGTGGCCGATAGCTCCAAGGGGGGCACCAGCACCCTCTTCCGATGGGGGGGCCGAGGCTTCTACCCCCACCAGGCCCTTCGGCCCTGGCACCGCGACACCCACCTGGAGTTCCTGGAGCTGGGGGGCAGCCCGGCACTGGTGCTCTGCAGCGGCACCCGCAGGCCCCTGGTCTATCGGTGGAGCGGGGGGGCCTTCGCGCCCCACACCGACATCCCCCACGTGCCCGACGTCTACGCCGCCAAGCACTTCCGGCTGCGGGGCCACGTCTTCCTCTGCTTGACCAGGTTCCTTGGGGACGCCAAGGTGAGGGGGGACAGGGGGCTATGGGGGGGGGCTGGGGGGGGCTATGGGGTGATCGGCGTCGAAGGGGGGCTGTGGCCGGCGTGGGGGTCGGGATGTGGGCATTGGGGTGAGTTGGCGTCGTGCGGGGATGGGAGGACACCAGCATCATGGGGGAGTCAACCTAACCCTGTCCGTGATGGCCATGACCCAACCCAACCCAACCCAACTCAACTCAACCCAACCCAACTCAACTCAACTCAACCCAACCCAACTCAACCCAACCCAACCCAACCTGTACCTCTGATGACCATCACCCAACCCAACTCAACCCAACCCAAACCTACCTCAACCCAACCCAACCCAACTCATCCCATCCTTATGATGACCGTCACTCAACACAACCTAACTCAACCCACCTCAATCCAGCCCAACTCAACCCAACCCATCCCTATGATGACCATCACTCAACTCAACCCAACCCAACTCAACCCAACCCAACTCAATTCAACCCATCCCTATGATGACTATCACTCAACTCAACCCAACTCAACCCAACCCAATGCAACCCATCCCTCTGTTGACCATCACCCAACCCAACTCAACCCAACCCATCCCTCTGATGACCATCACTCAACACAACACAACCCAATTCAACCCAACTCAACCCAACTCAACCCAACCCAACCCACCCCTCTGATGACCATCACCCAACCCAACTCAACCCAACCTTACCCAACCCAACTCAACCCACCTCAACCCACCCCATCCCATCCCTCCCCATGCAGGTGATGCGCTGGGAGGGCTCCATGTTCCGGGAGGTCCAGCAGGTCCCGGCCCGTGGCTCCATGGTCTTCCAGCCCTTGGCAGTGGGTGGCCAGCGCTACGTCCTGCTGGGCAACGACTACGCCCCGAGCCGCGTCTACCGCCTGGGGCCCGGTGGCCACCTCGAGCCCATCCAGGAGCTCCTGGCCCCATCTCCTCGCTCCTTCGCCCCCATCTCCGTGGGGCACCGGCACTTCCTGGTGGTCTCCAGCTTCAAAGGGGCCACCCAGATCTACCGGCACGTCACCATCGACCTGGGGGCCTGAGGGCCACTGAGGACACCCCATGGTGGTGATGGGGGATGATGGACATCAAGGCAACAGCTACGTTGGCCCCGTGTCACCATTGGCCACCATCAACCCAATGGCACCATTGGCCACCATTGACCACCCATGGCATCTCCTGGTGACACCATCAACCCAATGTCCCCAAGGCCACCATCGACCCAATGGCACCATTGACCCCATGTCCCCATTGGCCACCATCAACCCAATGTCCCCAAGGCCACCATCAACCCAATGTCCCCAAGGCCACCACCAACCCAATGGCACCATTGACCCCATGTCCCCATTGGCCACCATCAACCCAATGTCCCCAAGGCCACCATCAACCCAATGGCACCATTGACCCCATGTCCCCATTGGCCACCATCAACCCAATGTCCCCAAGGCCACCATCAACCCAATGGCACCACTGACCCCATCTCACCTCCTCCTTCCCCCCCATCCCTTTGTCCCCTCTTGTCCCCCGATGCCCCCACCCCCCAATAACCACAATGTCCCCAAATGTTCCCTTTTAAACCATCATTTTTTATTCAGTGTCCCATTTCTTGCTGCTTTCGGAGAGATTCACCCCAAAATACCCCCCCCCCCATCCCCCATCTCCACTGGGGACACTTGGGGTCACTTCAACACGTGCTGGTGGCTCCTATGGAGAGATGAGGGTCAGGGGGGGACCCACAGCCTTGGGTCATGGTTACTATCGGACCTCCCACCCCATTGTCACCATGGGGTGACCCAATGGGGGGGGGAACACTTGGGGACGTACCAGGAGCAATGAGGTGGGAGGATTCCGGGGGAGGATAACGGCGTCTGGTGGGGTAGGAGGGGTTGGCATCTCCTATGCCCCATATCCCATACCCCATACCCCATATCACAAACCCCATACCCCATATCACAAACCCCATATCCCATATCCCATATCCCATACCCCATACCCCATATCGCATACCCCATATCCCATACCCCATATCCCCTACCCCATATCCCATTATCCCCATACCCCATATCCCATACCCCATTACCCATTATCTCCAAACCCCATACCCCATATCCCATACCCTATGCCCCATATTCCATACCCCATTATCCCATACCCCATATCCCATACCCCATTATCCCATACCCCATATCCCATACCCCACAACCCATACCGCATACCCCATATCACATATCCCATATCCCACATTCCATCTCCTACCTGGCTTTGCTCCCACACTTGCACTTCCCACCTGGCAATGGGACACACGTCACCCCCCCATAGGGGACATTGAGCCCAGGGGACCCCCATTGACACAAGGACCCCCCATTGACACTTGGGGACCCCATTGACTCAAGGACTCCCCCATTGACACTTGGGAACCCCCCATTGACTCTTGGGGACCCCCCATTGACACTTGGCTCCATTGACACAAGGACCCCCCCATTGACACCTGGGGACCCCATTGACACAAGGACCCTCCCATTGACACCTGGGGACCCCATTGACACTTGGGGACCCCATTGAAACAAGGACCCCCATTGACACTCACTGAGGAGGACGATGATGCCAACCACGCACAGGACAGCGGCCACCACGAGCCCGGCCACACGCAGGCGGTGCCAATCTGGGGGGGGACACATGGGGACACCCCTGTCACCTCCATTGGGGTCCTCAATGTCACCCCCAGTGGGGTCCTCAATGGCACCTCCATTGGGTCCTCAATGGCGCCCCCATGGGGTCCTCAATGTCACCCCCATTGGGTCCTCAATGTCACCCCCATGGGGTCCTCAATGTCACCTCCATTGGGTCCTCAATGTCACCCCCATGGGGTCCTCAATGGCACCTCCATTGGGTCCTCAATGTCACCCCCATTGGGGTCCTCAATGTCACCCCCATTGGGTCCTCAATGTCACCCCCATTGGGGTCCTCAATGGCACCTCCATTGAGTCCTCAATGTCACCCCCATGGGGTCCTCAATGTCACCTCCATTGGGGTCCTCAATGGCGCCCCCATTGAGGACCATTGGGACATCCCATCATAACCTCCATTGGGGTCCCTCCATGTCACCCCATTGGGGACCCCCCCGTCCCCACTCACCGTACTGGAAGGGACTGGTGGCATCTGTAGGGAATGGGAAGACACCAGTATAAAACCCCCATTCCCAGTATAACCCCATCATATCCCAGTATAACCCCATCATATCCCAATATAACTCCACCATATCCCAATATAACCCCCTATATCCCAGTATATCCCACTCCCATTCCTGGTCCAGCTCTTCCCCCCTCCCAGTTGCTTCCAGTTCATCCCAGTTACTCACCAGGGGGCAGAGGGTTCCCTCTTACTAGGGGCAAAACTGGGGGGACAAAGCCAGATGGGGGGGGTGTGAGTGTCCCAGTTCATCCCATTTCCCCCTAGTTCATCCCAGTTACCCCCAGTTCATCCCAATTGCTCCCAGTTCATCCCAGTTACCCCCCGTTCCCTCCCAATTGCTCCCAGTTCATCCCAATTGCTTCCAGTTCCTCTCAATTCCCTCCCACTCCTTTCCAGTTCATCCCAGTTGATCCCAGTTGCTCTCAGTTCATCCCAATCCCCTCCCAGTTGATCCCAGTTCATCCCAATCCCCTCCCAGCTCATCCCAATCCCCTCCCAGTTGATCCCAGCTCATCCCAATCCCCTCCCAGTTCATCCCAGTTGATCCCAGTTGATCCCAATCCCCTCCCAGTTCATCCCAATCCCCTCCCAGTACCTCCCAGTATCACCAGTAAGGTCATGCTGTCCCATTCCATCCTGTGGGAAAGCATTAATGGGCGGGAACTGGGTGTTAACGGGCGGGAACTAGTGTTAATGGGCGGGAACTGGTGTTAATGGGCGGGAACTGGTCTTAATGGGCGGGAACTGGGTGTTAATGGGCGGGAACTGGTGTTAATGGGCGGGAACTGGGTGTTAATGGGCGGGAACTGGTGTTAATGGGCGGGAACTGGTGTTAATGGGCGGGAACTGGTGTTAATGGGCGGGAACTGGTGTTAATGGGCGGGAACTAGTGTTAATGGGCGGGAACTGGTGTTAATGGGCGGGAACTGGTCTTAATGGGCGGGAACTGGGTGTTAATGGGCGGGAACTGGGTGTTAATGGGCGGGAACTGGTGTTAATGGGCGGGAACTGGGTGTTAATGGGCGGGAACTGGTGTTAATGGGCGGGAACTGGTGTTAATGGGCGGGAACTGGTGTTAATGGGCGGGAACTGGTGTTAATGGGCGGGAACTGGTGTTAATGGGCGGGAACTGGGTGTTAACGGGCGGGAACTGGTGTTAATGGGCGGGAACTGGTGTTAATGGGCGGGAACTGGTGTTAATGGGCGGGAACTGGGTGTTAATGGGCGGGAACTGGTGTTAATGGGCGGGAACTGGGTGTTAATGGGCGGGAACTGGGTGTTAATGGGCGGGAACTGGTGTTAATGGGCGGGAACTGGTGTTAATGGGCGGGAACTGGGTGTTAATGGGCGGGAACTGGTGTTAATGGGCGGGAACTGGGTGTTAATGGGCGGGAACTGGGTGTTAATGGGCGGGAACTGGTGTTAATGGGCGGGAACTGGGTGTTAATGGGCGGGAACTGGTGTTAATGGGCGGGAACTGGTGTTAATGGGTGCCAATGGGACATTCCTGAGTGGGGCGAGGTCGCAGGGCCCCATAGGGCCGGACCGGTCGTACCAATGTCCTTGGGGGGGGGGGGGCCGGTTATTGGGGTTCCCCCCCATTATACACGGCCCCCAATGGGTGTTTGGGGACCCCACCACCATCTATGGGGCAGCCCCCCCATAGGGACACCCCCCCGGGGACCTGCCCCACACGTGGGACACCCAATGCAGTGACCCCCCCCCATAGGGTAACCTCCCCATAGGGGACCTCAACACCCATAGGACCCCCCCATAGGGGATCCCAACACCCATAGGACCCCCCCCCCCCCTCCCATAGGAGCCCCCTATAGGGCCCCCCCCAACTCACGTCCCGACACCAGCAAGGACCAAAGCAGGAACTGGGGGGGGGAAGACCCATACCTGGAAGGGGGCGTGGCCAAACCCGGAAGAGCCAATCAGAGCCCTCCTATAAAGCACGTGACACACCCCCCCTTATAACCTGGGTCCCCCCCCATGGACCTATTGAGCTCCAATGGACCCAATGATCCCCCCATGGACCCAATGACCCCCCCATGGATCCATTGACCCCCATGGACCCATTGACTCTCAATGGGCCCATTGACCCCCCATGGATCCATTGACCCCCAAGGACCCATTGAACCCCAATGGACCCATTGAACCCCCCCCATGGACTCATCAACCTCCAATGGACCCATTGACCCCTCCATGGACCCATTGACCCCCCCATGTACCCAATGACCCCCAATGGACCCATTGACACCCCCCATGGACTCATTGACTCCCAATGGACCCACTGACCGCCCCATAACCTGGGGGGGGGTCCCTTGGCAAGGCCACGTATGACACACGTGTGTTCACACATGTACACAGATGGGGCGCTTGGAGAGGCTTTATTGTGGGCCCGTCCTAACGTGTCCTCCATGGTGATGGGGCCTTCTATGGGGCACGGATCTTCTATGGGTCATGGCTCTTCTATAGTTCTATGTCCTTGTATGGGTCATGGTCCTTCTGTGAGTCCGGTTTCTCCTATGGGTCACGGTCCTTCTATGGGGCAGGGATCTTCTACAGGGCACGGCTCTTTTATAGTTCTATGTCCTTCTATGGGTCATGGTCCTTCTATGAGTCTGGTTTCTCCTATGGGTCATGGTCCTTCTATGGGGCAGGGATCGTCTATGGGGCATGGCTCTTCTATAGTTCTATGTCCATCTATGGGGCATGGCTCTTCTATAGTTCTATGTCCATCTATGGGTCATGGTCCTTCTATGAGTCTGGTTTCTCCTATGGGTCATGGTCCTTCTATGGGGCAGGGATCATCTATGGGGCATGGCTCTTCTATAGTTCTATGTCCATCTATGGGGCATGGTCCTTCTATGAGTCAGGTTTCTCCTATGGGTCATGGTCCTTCTATGGGGCAGGGATCGTCTATGGGGCATGGCTCTTCTATAGTTCTATGTCCATCTATGGGGCATGGTCCTTCTATGAGTCCGGTTTCTCCTATGGGTCACGGTCCTTCTATGGGGCACGGCTCTCCTATGGGGCAATGTCCTTCTATGGGGCAAGGTCCTTCCCCCCACCCCATCCCGTGCCCCACAGCCCCCTCCCTCCCCCCCTACCCGCACACGTAGACCCTCTCCTCCGTGCCCCCGTGGCCTCTATGGGGCTCGGTGGGGCCGGGGGTGGTGGGGGCCCGATCCACGCGGAAGATCCAGCGCCCGGGGGTGCCGGCGTTGCTGCGGCGGCCGAGGCTCAGCACCGCGGGGGAGCGGGAGCCGGGCAGGGTGAAGGAGCGGCCGCCGGGGCCGCTGTCGAACCCGGCCTAGGGCACAGACCCAAAACCGCCCCATTTCCACCCAAAACCACTCAATTCTGACCCAAAACCATTCAATTCTGACCCAAAACCATTCAATTCTGACCCAAAACCATTCAATTCTGACCCAAAACCATTCAATTCTGAACCAAAACCATTCAATTCTGACCCAAAACCATTCAATTCTGAACCAAAACCATTCAATTCTGACCCAAAACCATTCAATTCTGACCCAAAACCATTCAATTCTGACCCAAAACCATTCAATTCTGAACCAAAACCATTCAATTCTGACCCAAAACCATTCAATTCTGAACCCAAACCACCCCATTTCCACCCAAAACCAAAACCACTCAATTCTGAACCAAAACCATTCAATTCTGAACCAAAACCGCCCCATTTCCACCCAAACCCACTCAATTCTGACCCAAAACCATTCAATTCTGAACCAAAACTGCCCCATTTCCACCCAAAACCAAAACCACTCAATTCTGAACCAAATCCACCCAAATATGACCCAAACCCACCACATTTCCACCCAAAACCACTCAAATCAGACCCAAATCGACTCAACTCTGACCCAAATCGACTCAATTTTGACCCAAATCCACTAAATTCTGACCCTAATCTACTCAATTCTGACCCAAAAGCCCTACAATTCAACCCAAATTCACTCAAATCTGATCCAAATCCCCTTCTTTTCAGCCCAAATCGACTCAATTCTGACCAAAATCCCCTTCATTTCAACCCAAATCCACTCAATTCCAACCCAAACCTCCCATAGCTCCATCGCATCCAGGCTGGTGGCTGTAACCCCATTGCCCCCTTAACCCCCATTGCCCCCTTTACCCCCATTGCCCCATTACCCCATTACCCCCATTACCCCCATTACCCCCATTGCCCCCATTGCCCCCATTACCCCATTACCCCCATTACCCCCTTTGCCCCCATTACCCCCATTACCCCATTACCCCCATTACCCACCTGGGCCGCGATGCCCCCCAGGCCGCTGTGGGGGTCCCCCTGGTTGGAGATGCCCGTGGTCCATTGCAGGTCCCCGTAGTTGAAGATGACGAAGGAGGCGGCTCCATCGGTGGCCAGCACGGCTTGGAAGGTGTTCACCTGATGGGGAGGGGGAGCACCTCTGTGTCCCACACCCCATATTCCCTATCCCATACCCCATACCCCATATCCCATACCCCATATCCCCTATCCCATACCCCATACCCCATATCCCATACCCCATATCCCCTATCCCATACCCCATACCCCATATCCTATACCCCATATCCCATATCCCATACCCCATACCCCATATCCCATACCCCATATCCCCTATCCCATATCCCCTATCCCATACCCCATACCCCATATCCCCTATCCCATACCCCATACCCCATATCCCATATCCCATATCCCACACCCCATATCCCATATTCCACACCCCATATCCCGTATCCCATACCCCGTATCCCATACCCCATATCCCATATCTCATACCCTATACCCCATATCCCATATCCCATATCCCATACTCCATATCCCCTACCCCATACCCCATACCCCATATCCTATACCCCATATCCCATATCCCATATCCCCTACCCCATACCCCATACCCCATATCCTATACCCCATATCCCATATCCCATATCCCATACCCCATATCCCCTACCCGATATCCCATACCCCATATTCCATACTGGATATCCCATACCCATACCCCACATCCCATTATCCCATTATCCCACACCCCATACCCCATATATCCTATACCCCATACCTCATATATCCCATATCCCATGCCCCACAACCCATTATCCCATTATCCCATACCCCATACCCCATTATCCCATACCCCATTATCCCATACCCCATACCCCATATCCCATGCCCCATACCCCATATCCTATACCCCATAGCCCCTTATCCCATTATCCCATACCCCATATCCCCTACCCGATATCCCATACCCCATATCCCATACTGGATATCCCATACCCATACCCCACATCCCATTATCCCATTATCCCACACCCCATACCCCATATATCCCATATCCTATACCCCATACCTCATATATCCCATATCCCATGCCCCACAACCCATTATCCCATTATCCCATACCCCATACCCCATTATCCCATACCCCATACCCCATATCCCATGCCCCATACCCCATATCCTATACCCCATACCCCCTTATCCCATTATCCCATACCCCATATCCCATACCCCACAACTCATTATCCCATTGCCCCACCTTGTCCGACGCTGCCCCAAAGTAGGAGACCCGGTCCCAGGTGGCCACCAAGGCCCACGTTGGGCTTGGCGCCTGCCCCACGGTGACCGCGGCCAAGTCCCGGCCCAAGCGGGCCAAGAGCCGTGGGTCGCGGCTCTGCCGGTAGAAGACGTCGCCCCCCAGCCGCGTGTCCACGTCCGCCCAATAGGGAGCCACCAAGGGGCGGGCCCCGGCCAATGGGAACGCTTGGGGGGTGAACTCCGGGACCCCGATCCCAAAGGACAGGACCCCGTTGTTGTTGACCTGCGGGAGGGGCCGTGGGGAGGAACCAATGTGGGGCAGGGGTTGAGTGATGGGGGGACTGAGGATGGGGGCACCCAACTATGGGGCACCAAAGCATTGGGCACCCAAGCATGGTAGCACCCAAGCATGGTATCACCCAACTATGGGGTCACCCAACCAATGGGGCACCCAACCATGGGACACCCAACCATGGGATCACCCAACAATGGGGACACCCAAGCATGGTATCACCCAACTATGGGGTCACCCAACCAATGGGGCACCCAACCATGGGGCACCCAACCATGGGATCACCCAACAATGGGGACACCCAAGCATGGTATCACCCAACTATGGGGTCACCCAACCAATGGGGCACCCAACCATGGGACACCCAACCATGGGATCACCCAACCATGGGGACACCCAAGCATGGGGGCATCCAACCATGGGGACACCCAACCATGGGGTCACCAAACCAATGGGGCACCCACCCATGGTATCACCCACCCATGGGGTCACCCAACCATGGGATCACCCAACCCTCACCCCCCCACCCCATAGGCCCCCCATAGGACCCACATAGACCGAGCGGTAGGGATGTCCATAGAAGGAGAAGGTCTCCCATAGGATGATCTCTGGGCTCATCCCATCGTCCTCATGGGGGGTGGCTTCGTCTCCAGCCTCTGCCCCATAGGGGTACAGCAGTCCTAAGGGAGGGACACCATTGCTATGGGGCTGGGACCCACATGGTGGCCCAGGGCCCCACATTGTCTCTATGGGACCTTCCAATATGGGGCTGGGACCCCCCCCACTATGGGTTTAAGACCCCAACCTATGGGTCTGCCCCCCACCCTTTCCATGGGTTCCAATGGGACGAGGAGGCACCCATGGGTGCCCCTCATGCCCCCACAGTGCCCCCACTCACCTGGGGGACTCCTGGGCCCCCCACATGTTCCCAGCGGTCCCCAGGGATCCGTGAGGAGGAGGAGGATGACGGGGAGAGCCTTCATCTGCCCAGGGCTAGGAGCCAGGGGGCATCCTTCATCCATACCCCATATACCATACCCAATACCCCATACCCCATACCCCATACCCCATACCCCATATCCCATATTCCATATCCCATACCCCATACCCCATACCCCATATCCCATATCCCATATTCCATATCCCATACCCCATACCCCATACCCCATATCCCGTACCCCATATCTCATACCCCATACCCCATATCCCACACCCCATATCCCATACCCCATACCCCATATCCCATATTCCATATCCCATACCCCATATCTCATACCCCATACCCCATATCCCACACCCCATACCCCATACCCCATATCCCATATCCCATACCCCATATATCATACCCCATATCCCGTACCCCATACCCCATATCCCATATCCCATATCCCATTCCCCATACCCCATACCCCATACCCCATATCCCATATCCCATACCCCGTACCCCGTACCTCATTCCCCATACCCCATACCCCATATCCCATATCCCATGCCCCATATCTCATACCCCGTACCCCATACCCCATACCCCATACCCCATATCCCATACCCCATATCCCATACCCCGTACCCCATACCCCATACCCCATATCCCATATCCCATACCCCATACCCCACACCCCACATCCCGCATCCCTACCCCACATCCCTACCCCCAGCTCCCCCCTCACCCCATGGCTCCGTCTCTCCCCTCTGTGTGTCTGGACCCACTTGATCTGCAGGGATTTATCCGCAGGATGGGGGCACCCCCAAGGTGGCACCTCCCAGAGCCTCGGGCACTTCCTGCTCTCCCCATAGGAGCCCTGGGGCACTGGGAGGACTTTATGGGGTATGAGGTATGGGATATGGGGTATGGGATATGGGGTATGGGATATGGGATATGGGGTGTGGGGTATGGAGTATGGGGTATGGGGTATGGGGTATGGGGTATGGGGTGTGGGATATGGGGTATGGGGTGTGGGGTATGGATATGCGATATGGGGTATGGGATATATGGGATATGAGGTACAGGGTATGGGGTATGGGATGTGGAATATGGGGTATGGGGTATGGGATGTGGAATATGGGGTATGGGATATGGGGTATGGGGTATGGGGTATGGGATATGGGGCATGGGGTATGGGATATAGGGTATGGGGTATGGGGAATGGGATATGGGATATGGGGTATGGGGTATGGGGTATGGGGTATGAGGTATGGGTTATGGGATATGGGGTATGGGGCATGGGGAATGGGATATGGGATATGGGGTATGGGATATGGGGTATGGGGTATGGGGTATGGGGTATGAGGTATGGGTTATGGGATATGGGGTATGGGGTATGGGATATGTGATATCGGATATGGGGTATGGGGTATGGGGTATGGGGAGGGTACTAGGAGCTATTGGGGACAACTGGGGGGGCAGCTGGTGCCCACCCCATGGGACCCACACGTGGTTGTTCACCCTCTTCAGGACCCACACATCTGGGTTCTTCCTTCGTAGGACCCACGTATCTGGGTCACCCCACCACATAACACCCACATGGGGCTGTGCCCCCCCCATAAGCTCCCCATATGCGGGTGCCCCCCCATGAGCCCCACATATCCGGGTTCCCACCCCATAGATCCGGCCCCACGGGCAGCTCCGTGACCAGAGCTATTGACTCAAGGGGGTCAATGGGGGGGACCAGGAAGCGCCTGGGGCCAAGATGTGGCTGCCAAAGCACTCGGATATGTGGGGCCCGCCCCATAAGTGACCCCCAAGCCCCTTTTCCCCTGCCCCACACTCTCATTTCCTGCAATTCTCATCCTTTTATTGCGATTCCAAAGGGATTTTTTGGGTGGGAATCGGCCCTTTTCCAGCCTGGCGCGGGAATGGGGTGACCTCATTGGTGACGTCAGCGATGACCTCATCGGCCAAGCCTTTCACCCCCCCTCTGCAGGGCCTCTAATTGCAGCACTGGAGGAGGGGAAGGGAAAGAGGAAATAAGGGATTAATCCGTGGGTTTTGAGGGGTTTTCCCACTTTTTCAGGTCTTTCCCCTTCTTTTGGGTCTCTTTTTCCCACTTTTGGGGCTGTTTTCCTCACTTTTTGGTCTGTTTTTCCATCTTTTTCCCAATTTTGGCCTCTTTTCCCCTTCTTTTGGTCTCTTTTCCCTCTTTTGGGGCTCTTTTCCCCCAATTTTTGTCTTTTGGACTCTCCTTTTGCTCTTCTTTTCCCTCTTTTTAGGCTCTTTCCCCACTTTTTTTGGCTATTTTCCCCTCTTTTTGCCCTGTTTTCCCCGATTTTGTTCTCTTTTCCTTAGTTTTGGGGCTATTTCCCCTCTTTTTGGTCCATTCACCCCCCTTTTGGGGGCTGTATCCTCTCATTTTCTCCATTTCCCCTTCTTTTTGTGGTTATTTGCCTTCTTTTTGCCCTCTTTTTCCCTTATCTTGGCCTCCTTTCCCTAGTTTTGGGTCTATTTCCCCTCTTCTTGCTCCATTTCCCCCTCTTTTGGGGGCTATTTCCCCTCTTTTTGCTCCATTTCCCCCTCTTTCAGGCCTCTTCCCCTTCTCCTGCCCCCCTTGAGGATGATGGGACCAAGAACGACCCTTTCCATGCCCCACATCCATGGGGAAAGACCCATTGGGGCTAACACAAAGCCACAGCCCCAACCCCTGGATGCTTCCCCATGGTGGGGACCCCCGATCCCATTGGGAACCACAACCAAGCTCCCCCCAACCCAAGCCATGGGGCACTCACATGGGTGAAGTCCGGGGCTCTCCATGCCTTGGCCATGGCCTCCATATCCCCAACCAAGGTCCCATCGGGTCCTTGGAGGTCATTGGCGGCGTTCCCGTCGTGATTCCCACAGATCCCACAGAGCTTCCCATGGAGGCCTTGGGCTGCCGTCACCGTGGCCTCCCCATTGGGGTTGAGCTCAATGTCCAATGAGGCTTGGCTGATCCGGATGGTTCCATGGGTCTCGGTGATGTTCAGCCCCCCATAGACTTCCATAGGGGTGGTGGCTGGGACCCCATTGACCTGGAGAAGACACCAAGAGGGTGGCTCTGTGCCATGGGGTGAAACACCCAAGAAATGGGTCATTTCCTCCAAACTGGGGTGAATTCCCTTCATTTTGGGTATGGAGACACAGGGTTAGGGTTAGGGTTGGGTTAGGGTTAGGGTTAGGGTTAGGGTTAGGGTTGTGTTAGGGTTAGGGTTAGGGTTAGGGTTAGGGTTAGGGTTTGGGTTGTGTTAGGGTTAGGGTTAGGGTTAGGGTTTGGGTTAGGGTTGCGTTAGGGTTAGGGTTAGGATTAGGGTTAGGGTTGTGTTAGGGTCAGGGTTAGGATTAAGGTGAGGGGTGGGTTAGTGTTAGGTTTAGGGTTATGGTTGCGTTAGGGTTAGGGTTAGGATTAGGGTTATGGGTGGGTTAGGGTTTGGGTTAGGGTTGTGTTAGTGTTAGGGTTAGGATTATGGTTAGGGTTAGGTTTGTGTTAGGGTTAGGTTTAGGGTTACGTGTAGGTTTATTTTTGTGTTGGGTTATTGGCTGGTTTTTGGTTAGATTTGTGGTTAGGGTTCGGTCCAGTGTTGGGTTAGGATTAGGCTTATGGTCGTAGTTATGGTTAGGGTTAGGTTTATTTGGGGTTATGATTATGAAGTATCCCTTTGTGTTGTAGTGTGGTGGGAATGACCTACCCAGACCTTCTTCTCCCTCTTGATGGTGATGAAAGCCCTATTGCTGAAGAGGTGAAGAGTGAGCACCGATGGTCTCTCTTGGTCCTCTCCAACCTCAGCCAAGAGCCGGAACCATGGCGAGCCTCGAGGGTCGCACAATGTGGCCACCACATAGACCCCATTGGCCATGGTGGTGCCAGTTGCCCCATCGAAGGACACGGAGGCAGTGGCCGGGGCCAAGCTGCAGCGCCCGGGTTGCTCCACGCAGGCCCGGGCCCCATTGAGGTGACCACAGACGTGGCCAAGGGGACATGGAGAAGGTCGGCACTGGAGGGCACCGGCGCCCCGGCACGTGCAGGTCTCGGTGCAGTCTGGGGACCTGATGGTCTCGGCGATCTGGGGTGGGGGAAGAAGCATCAGTAGGGAGCCTGTGGCTGGGTTTGAGGTTGGGAGGGGGCGGGAGGGAGAGGAATGTTGTGTTTTCCCATTGGAAAGGGGTAGAAAGCCAAGAAGTGAGGGGTTTCCTATTGGGAAGAGGGGTAACATCAAGACAGGTTGAGTTTTCCCATTGGGAAGGGGTAGAAAGTCAAGCAATGAGGGGTTTCCCATTGGAACATTCCCATTGGAGAACACCCAGGAACGCTGAGGATCCCCTTGGACCGCTGAAGAACCTCAGGAAGGGGCCTTCAGCACCCACGGACACCATAGGAAGACCTCAGAGCCCCCATGGGGCCCCCGAGGAGCCCACCTGGAAGTAGCGGCCGCGGTGCAGGCACCCACAGGAGCCCATGGGGACGCATCGGGCGCCGCTGAAGAGGAAGCCCCGGTCGCACTCGCAGCCCTCGAAGCACCTCCGGGTGCAGGGGGGGGTCCCGGAGATGGCGGCGCAGGTGAGGGGGCAGCTCCGGGTGCAGGGGGAGTAGTGGCTGTGGGGGGGGCAGGAGAGGGCTGGAGGGGAGAAGAACCTGGTTCTGTGGGGCTTGGGTATGGGGGGTCCTGATGGTGACCTCCTGCACCCATGGAGGACCCCAACCATGCTCCATCCAACCCCATTTCTCCATGGAGGACCCCAACCATGCTCAATCCAACCCCATTTCTCCATGGAGGACCCCAACCGTGGTCAATCCAACCCCATTTCTCCATGGAGGACCCCAACCATGCTCAATCCAACCCCATTCCTCCATGGAGGACCCCAACCCTAGTCCATTCAACCCCATTCCTCCATGGAGGACCTCAACTGTGGTCCATCCATCCCCCCAATGACCCCCTATAGACTCACGGCATTTGGCTGCATCCCTCCAATCCTTGAGGTCCCCACCAGCAGCTTGGCAAGCAGCAGCGTAGACCTGGAAGCTCCTACACAAGGCCTCCCCCCCCGGCTCCTTGCATTGCTCCTGCATGCACCCAATCACGTACTTATGGGGTTCCACCACCCCATGGCACCCTGAGAAAGGGCCTGATGCCTCCTGGAGCACCCCACAGGGGCCCAGTTCATCCATGGGGCAGGCAGTGGGGAGCAAGCCTGGGGTACAGGCAGTTGAATTGGAGTCCTCTTGGGGTTCATCGTTATGGGGGTCCCCATTGAAGTCACCGCAGAGGCCATGGGGTCGCTGGTGGTAGGAGCTGGGCAGGGTGACGAGGACGTAGGAGATCCCATCAAAGAGGACCTTGGGGCCCCCTTGGGTCAAGAGCACCCGGTGGGTGCCCTCCTGGCTCACGGTGACGGCCCCGTCAGCCAGGACCAGGGGCAGGAGGTGCTGGAGGCCGTCTACCTGCGGAGGGGACACCAAGGAGAGGGGTCAGAAAGGGGGGGGTGGACACAAAAAGTGGGGGTTTGGACCCCAAAATGGGGTCTGGAGGACCTCAGGGGCACCCCAAAGTGGGCTTTGGACCCTCAAAGTGGGGTTTTGGACCCCAAAGTGGGCTTTGAACCCCAAAACAAGCTCTTCAAGACCTCCTCACCACCCCAAAGTGGGCTTTGGACCCCCCAGAATGGGCTTTGAACCCCAAACCCAGCTCTTAAAGCCCTCCTGACCCCCTCAAAGACATCTTTTCCCCCCCAAGTGTGCCCTTCAACCCCTGACATCCACCCCCACAGCCATTTGTCCCCCCCAAAGCCGATGACCCCCATGCCCCCCACTCACCACCACCTCCCACTGCCTGCCCCCAACCATGGCCACGGTGACTCCATGCACGGTGACCACCACGCTCCGGATGCCATCTCCTTCCTTGGCCACCTCCACCTTGAAGGCCCCCATTGGCTCCGTGGCGTCCACCTCCACCATGGCGCCGGTGCAGTCGGCACCCAGGGCCAGGTGGTGGCCATCGAAGGTGCTGAAGGTGCCACCGAGCACCTCGCAGCGCCCGCAAGCACCGGGGTAGCAGCCCAAGAGCCCGTCCTGGACCTCGCAGACTTCGTCGGCCCCACATGCCTCGGGCCAGCACTCGACCGCGCCGCCTGCTCGGCACCGGCAGCGTTGGCTGCACTGGGGCTGCGCCATGAAGTCCTCTCCGTGCCTGTAGTAGCGCCCGTGGTGCCAGCAGCCGCACTGGGACAAGGGGACGCAGTGGGGCCCGCTCAGGAGGAAGCCGGGGTCGCAGAAGCAGCCTTCGGTGCATGGGGAGGGCTCCTCGCAGGCTTCTTGGCCCCCGGTGCACGTGGCCGGGCAAGGGGGACCGCAGAGCTCATAGTGTTGGTTGGGGGGGCAGACGGGACCTTGGGGGGAAGAGAGGTGGTGGTGGTGGTGGAGGGGCCAAAGGTGGCCATGGGGCAGCAGAAGAGGCAGGGAGAGGCAAAGGTTTGGTCTATGGGGAAGGCAACCCTTGGTGGAACCTCTTGGTGCATGGAGAACCCAGCCATTGATGGAACCAGGTCTTGGTGCATGGAGAACCCAACCCTTGGTAGAACATAGGTCTTGGTGCATGGAGAACCCAACCATTGATGGAACCAGGTCTTGGTGCATGGAGAACCCAACCCTTGATGGAACCAGGTCTTGGTGCATGGAGAACCCAACCCTTGATGGAACCAAGTGGATCCATGGACCCACCACCACCTTGCCCATGGCTCCCCAACCCCACCACGTGCATACAACCCCTCCACTCACTGCAGAAGGCCGCCGTGCGCCACGGTCCGATGTGGACACCTTGGCTCTGACAGGCGGTCACGTAGGCGCCGATGGAGCTGCAAACAGCTTCTTGGTGGCCTTCATAGACGCAGGCGTCATAGAGGCAGTCATCCCAGTAGGGCGCCGGGTCAATGGTGCCGTGGCAAGGGGCCAGAGGCCCCCTCTTCTTCACCAGGAGGCCACAGTGCTTGTCCCCACTGTAGACGCGTTTCTCCCCCTTGGTGCAACCCAGGAACCCTTCGGTGCTCCCCGGTTGGCACCCGGGGCCGGGGGCCACCTTCCAAGCATCCCCAAAGTGGGTCTCGTTGGCGGCCATGTGCCCGTTGGGCAGAGCCAAGTCGTCCTTGGGGTCACCGTTGGCGTTGCCGCAGAGGCCGCAGACGGCGCTGGAGTAGGAGGTGGGGAGGAAGACCCTGGCGTAGCTGCGCCAATCGAAAGTGATGGTGAGGCCGAAGTCAGTGGTGATGAAGCCATGGAAGCCGCTGAGGTGGGCCTGGAGCTTCTCGGTGTGCTGGAAGGGGAGCTCCACCACGACGCCGTTGACCTGGGTGGTTGGGGCAATGGGATGACGTGGGGGGGGCACCAAGAGGCCATGCAAGCAGGTGGGGACGGTGTCGAGGTTAACACAACAGTGGGCAATGAGGTTGAAACCCATCCAAACATCATAGAAGGACCTTGCAACCCATCTAAACCCCATGCAAGGAACTTAGAGCCCATCTAAACATCATAGAAGGGTTTTGGAGCCCATCTAAACACCATAGAAGGGTCTTGGAGCCCATCTGAACACCATAGAGGGGTCTTGGAGCCCATCTAAACCCCACAGAAGGACCTTAGAGCCCATCTAAATCCCATAGAAGGACCTTAGAGCCCATCTAAACAACATAGAATCACCTTGGAGCCCACCTAAACCCCATGCAAGGACCTTGGGACCCCCCCAGCTGCCTCCCAATGCCCACCCCCATCACCCCCACCTCCTCCTCCCCTACCTTGACCTTCTTGGGGTGCTCCTGGCTGAGGCCGAGGCTCATGTTGTAGACCTCCAAGGTGACCTCCTTGGTATAGGAGACCACGGGGCTGCCCCTGTTGTTGTTCTCCACGGTGACGGCGAAGGGGACGAGGGTCGGGTCCTCGGAGCAGAGGGCGACCAAGCGGTAGGTGCAGGTCCCCATGAAGTCGTAGCGGCGCCCATCGAAGGTGGTGTAATGGGGGTCACCGGTGGCCACGCAGACGGACCTGCTCTTGGCCACGCACCTCCTCACCCCCTTGACCAGGGAGCAGGTCTCGCTCGGCTTGCAGGCCGTCTCCTCGCACACCACCATGGCCAACGCCGGGTCGCAGCGGCACCGGACGCTGCAGCGCTCATCGGCCCAGAACTCCTCACCGGGGGGGTGGTAGCGTCCGTCGTGGGTGCAACCACAGCTGGCCAAGGGCACGCATTGGCCACCGCTGAGGACGTAGCCCCGGTCGCAAGCGCAGGTCTCCACGCACGGTTGGGTGCACGCGGTGGGAGCGTCTTGGTCGGCACACGTGGCCGGGCAGGAGGTGCCGCAAGGGTCGTAGTGGCTGTTCTCAGGGCAGGGTAAGGCTGGGAATAAGGAGGAGATGGAGGAGGACAATGAGGATCCATCACGGCGAAGGGCCTTTGGTTGGGTTGGGCAACCCCAAGAAGGGGTGGAGGGAAGGGCTTGGCAGTGGTGGTGGTTGAGGAGAACCTCAGTGGTGAGCAAGGAACCAACCATGTCTTGGGATCCATCACCAGAAACATGGGATCACGGAGCCAACCACACTCCAAGGCCAGAGGAGGCCATGGAGATGCTCCAAGGGCTGGAGAACCCTTGCTATGGAGATAAAGGGAGTTGGGGTTGTCCAGCCTGGAGAAGGGTCCATGGGGACCTTGGAGCACCTTCTATGACCTAAAGGAGCCACCAGGACCCCGGAGATGGGCTTTGGACAAGGGATGGGATGAGGAGAAACAACTTCCATTGGGAAGAGTTGGATGGGATCGAAGGGCTCTTTACCATGAAGGTGGTGGGACATCGGAATGGGTTGAATGGAGAAGGTTGGGATGACCAGGGTGGACAAGGCTTGGAGCATCCCTATAGTCTTGGGTTCCAAGCCCACCTCACCACCTACACCATGGTCACCATGGACCTTTACCTCCAACCCCCCTTAGATACCAGTCGCAAAGGCTTCAATGGACCCCAATGAGCTGTGGCTTCTTGGCCACGGAGAGCCATGATCAGCACTCACGGCAACCCGATGGTGTCCTCCAGTCGTGCACGGTGGCCCCATGCTTCTTGCAGATGGACGCATAGGCCTCCACCACGGGGCAGAAGATCTGCTTGGCCCCATCGCCCATGCACACGTCATAGAGGCAGTTGCGGTAGAAGTCCTGCGGCGGGACCACGTCGTGGCAAGCTTTGAAGGGCCCTTGGAAGCTCTTCTTGATGAGGCCACAGTATTGGTTGCCACCGTAAAGCTCCCTCTTCTCCTCCTCGCACAGCGGGCACGCTCCTTCGCAGTAATGCCAACAGAACGGGTCGTCCTCGTGCTCATCGAGGACCTTCCAAGCTTGGGCCCAGGCCACCACGGAGGTGAGGTTGGTGCCGCCCTGGGGGACGTCGTCTTCTGGCTTGAGGTTGAAGTTGCCGCAGAGGCCGCAAGTGTGGCTGTAGAAGCTGCTGGGGAGGTCAATGAGGAGGCGCCAGTTCCAGTCGTACGTGACCCTCAGGCCAAAGTCGGTCTCCACCACGGCGCTGAGGCCGCTCTGGAAGAGCCGGAGCTTGTTGGTCTCCAGGGTGACCGGGAGGAGGGTGGCGACGCCGTCCAGCTGCAGGGAGGGACGGGGACGCGGGGTGGGCAACCGGCCCATGGCAATGGGAAGCCACCCGTGAGAAGGTGCAAGCACTCACTGATGATGTTCAACCACCCATTGATGATGCTCAACCACTCATTGATGACGTTCAACCACATAGTGATGATGTTCAAGCACCCATGAGAGCGTTCAACCACTCATTGATGATGTTCAACCACTCATTGATGACATTCAACCACATAGTGATGATGTTCAAGCACCCATAAGAACGTTCAACCACTCATTGATAATGTTCAACCCCATTGATGACGTTCAACCACTCATTGATGATGTTCAACCCCATTGATGATGGTCAACCACTCACTGATGATGTTCAACCACTCATTGAACCACTCATTGGGTTCCCTTTGAACCCAAATCACCCTGATTTTGCCCATTTCCCTGGAGTGGATGGAGATAACTTTCACCATAGACCTTGATGGTGGCCAAGCTCATGGAGAAGATGGATGGTGAAGGATATGGATGGAGAAGGAGGTGGAAAAGACCCATTTCCCTTCCGCTTGGGGTCCACTCACCCTGACTTTGCCCACTTCCTTCTGGTGGATGGAGATGCGTTGACCATAGACCTTGACGTTGACCAAGCTGACGTAGGAGATGGATTTCACCCCCCCACGGACATCGTTCTTGCTCTCCACCTTGAAGGGCACCAAGGAGGTGTCATTCCCACAGGATTCCACCATGGTGTAGGTGCAGGTCCCTTGGAAGTCAAAGTCCAGCCCATCAAAGGTGTGGTAATGGGGATCTCCCCAAGCCCAGCAGGTTGCAACCATGGATGGGACACACTTGGCTTGGCCATCCTTCAACTTGCATCTTTCCTTGGGTCGGCACCGAAGGGCTTTGCAAGGGTCTGGAAAGAGAAGGAACCATAGGAGAAACCATGGGAGATGGGCATCAGGGACTTCCATGTCCCATTGCCCTTGGAGATGGACATCAGGGGCCTCCATGCCCCATTGCTCTTGGAGATCAATGGCCAGCATTTCTCCTGCTTTAGGCTTTGCTCCTCAACCTTGCCCCTCCCAATAGACCCTCCAGACCATCCAATGGACCTTCTCCATCTCCAGCCCCCCGTTCAGAAGCCCCATTGCTCCTTACTTTGGTTGATGCACCCCATGATCCCATCCTTGACCTCACAGGCCTCATCCTCGGTGCAGCTGTGATTGCTACAGGTCAAGCCTTGGCCAGGGACACAGGTACAACGCTGTTGGCAGGTCTCCTTCAGGACCACCTCGTGGGGCTGGAGGGGGAGAGGAGCCAAAGGGATGAGAAGAACCAGATTGTGTTGACTTCAATAAGTGGAACCATGTAGGGATGGGGGAAAGCATCGTGTCTTGAGGTCTTCAAAGTCCATCCTAACCCAACCCATTCCATTTCTCCATGCGAAGCCATGGGAGATGGAAGCCACTGAGATATTTCATCTCCAAGGAGCTGTGGATCCATCCATCTAGATGGGTCCAAACTGATGAAGAACCCCCCCAAAGGCCACCAGAGGGAGAAGGTTCCTACCCTGTAGTACTCCCCATCCACAAAGCATCCGCAGTGCTCCTCAGGGACGCAGTCATGGCCATCGGAGACGTACCCATGGTCGCATTGACACCCTTCCATGCAGCCTTGGGGACATCTGGAGGCATCTTCAAGCCTTGAGCAGCTCTGGGTGCAGAGCTTGGTGCAAAGGGAGTAGCTGCTGTTGGCTGGGCACTTGAGGGCTGCAATGGAAGCCATGAGTTTGCCCTCAATGTTGGGTTAGAAGAGTGGGGGCAACCTCAAGGGTGGGCCTTAAGGTGGTGGAAGGGTCAAAACGTTGATGGGAACAGGAGCCATGGGGTGTTGGGGGCAAGGAGAAGACAACCTGAGCACCAACAAGCACCAGCATTGGTGGTCACCACGGACCTCCATCTCCAACCCCCCTTAGGTACCAGTTGTGATGGTTTCAATGGACCCCAAGGAGAGGTGACTTCTTGGCCATGGAGAACCGTGGCCATCACTTACGGCACAAGGCTGGTCTTCTCCAAGCCTCAATGGTGACCCCAGCATCTTGGCAAGCGATGGAGTAGCTCTGGATGCTCCTACAGAGGACACTGGTGTCCCCCTCAGCAAGGCAAACGTCATGGAGACAAGCTTGGAGGTACGGGTCTGGGTCAATGAGGTGGTGGCAGGAGGCAAAAGGTCCCTTTGGGAGCATCAGGAGGCCACAATACTTGGGTTTCTGGAGGACCACCATCTTCTCCTCCGTGCAGGTGGGGCAACGGTCCTCAGGGCAATGGTCAACGCAAGGTGCATCAAGGGTCTTCCATGCAGAGCCGAAGACCGTGGTGTTGGGAGCCTGGTGGCCATCAGGGAGGAGAAGGTCATCGTCTTCCTGGCCATTGTAGTTGCCACAGAGCCCACAGAGGTGGCCTTGGTAGCCTGGGGGCACTGTGACCATGACGTGGTGGAGGAGGTCGTAGCGGACGAGGAGGCCAAAGTCAGTCTGGAGCAGGATGCCCATCCCGTGCTGGTGGACCTCAACCTGCCCATGGCTTAGGATGGCCGGGAGGTGGTGGGATATGGAGTCCACCTAGGACAGGAGGAGATAAAGCCCACCAATGAGCTCCAAGGAGGCTCCAGGGGGAAGATTATGGAGGTAGGAGTAGGAAGAGCCCTTCCAGCCAACCTTCAAATGGATTTATGGAAGCTGGAAGGCAAAAAGATGGGTTTGTATTGGACATAAGGGTGAGGTCTTCTCCCATTGTGGAAACCCAGGCTTGGTATCTCATGTCCATAAAGTGGACCCCGAAAGGTCAACATGGATGGAGCTGTCTCCCTCTCACCTCATGGCAAGGTCAGTATGAACCCACAGATGGTGATGGTGGATGACCATCATGGAACTGTGTCTATCCAGCCTCATGGTAAGGTCAATATGAACCCATAGATGATGATGGTGGACCACCATCATGTAGCTGTGCCCATCCAACCCCAACCCAAAGCCAACATGTCCCCCTTGACCTCACCATCACAACCATAGAGTGGTGGACCTCCAAGCATCACCTTACCAGGACACTCCTCCTGCCTTGCATCAGGGTCAGTGTGAGCCCATGGACTTCAATGGTCAACGTTTGGATGCTGGAGGCCTTCTTCTTCTGCCGAGCATCCTTCTGGACCTTCACCACGAAGGAGTCCAGGTCACCGGAGCAGGTCTCAGTGAGGACATAGGAGCAGGTACTGGAGATGTTGAAAGCCACCCCATCAAAGGACACATAGCTGCGGTCACCGGTGGCCACGCAGGTCCCTGGTGCAGTAGATGGGCATTGGAAGACCCCATCGATGAGTTCTCCTTCCCCGTCGCCAGGACAAGAGGTCTTCTGGCAGTCCACGGTGCCACCGGCTTGGCAGTGACACTTCTCCTGCGTGGAGGGGTAGAAGGTCTCGTTGGCCTTGTAGTAGAAGTCCTGATGGTGGCAACCACACTGGGACATGGGGACGCACTCATCGCCGCTGAGCACGAAGCCTTGGTCGCAGACGCAACCCTCATGGCATTGGGCCTTCATGGAGCATCTTCTGGAGGTGTGGATGGAGCTGCAGGTCTGGGAGCAGGCCTCGGAGCAGAGCTCATAGTGGCTTCGTGGAGGACAGGAGATATCTGCCATGGGGACATGGAGATCCATGAGGAGCAAGGCAATCCCACCCCACATCCTCCAGGTCTACACTTAGGGGCCACCACAAGGAGATGGGTTTAAGCCATGGTTGTGCCTCATCTGTACCTCCTTATGGACATCATGAGGGTTGAGGTGTCCATAGAGGTGATGGAACCAAGCTAAGAAGGGTTCCTGATCATTGTCTATGGCCAGAGCTGATGGCACCTATCTAAGGGGGGTTCTTGGCCATGCTGGACCAACCTAGATACTGAGTGGGATCTCCACCTCCCTGCTTCATCTCCACAGGGTTTGGGGCTTCCCTTGGACATTCCTGACCATTCACGAAGCCCAAACCCAGCCGCTGATCCCAACTTACTGCAGAAGTCCTCTGTCCTCCACATCCCAATGGGGACGCCAGCAGCTTGGCAGGCAGCAGCATAGCGGGCAAGGATGGGACATGCCACCTCCTCCCGATGCGGGAAGAGGCAGGAATCATGGACACAGCTTTGGAAGTACTTGGTGGCATCTACATGAGCATGGCAAGCTCCGAAAGGTCCCTCGACTTGGTGGAGGAGCCCACAACCCATCTCGGAGTCTTCCTCCCCTTGCTGTTGTCCCCTTTGGGGACATTCCATGTTGGATAGCTCCATGCAACCCGGGATGTCCATCACCTTCCAGTGGTCTCCAGAGGTGTCTGGGCTGGAGGTCGCGCTGTCGTTCTTCGCCATCATCATCATCTCATCCTCCCTGTTGCCATTGTAATTGCCACAGAGGCCACACAAGGCGTTGGAGTAAGTGCTGGGCACTGAGACCAGGACTTGGCTTTGCCAATCGTAGGTGACCGTGAGGCCGAAGTCGGTCTCCACCACGGCTGCTTGGCCACCTCTGGAGATGGAGATCTTCTGCTCTCGGTGGTGGTAGGGGAGGTTGACCAAGCGGTCGTTGATCTGGGGGCAAGAGGCAAGAAGAAGCCATCATCTGGTGTCTAAGCCTCGATTCTCCACCACCTTGACTCCAACCAACCCATGGAGGTGGAGAGTAGGATGACCCCATAACCACGTGCCCACCATCGGGCATGGATCTGCTTCAGGTGGAGATCCATGAGGCCATTAACCCTCATCTTGGTGCATGTGGTTGGCCACATTGTCCCATTGAATTCCACCCTTCCAACCCCAAGCTCTGGGTCTCAGTGTGGTTGAAGGAGACCCTTCAGTGTTACCCAATGGATGGAAGAGATGGGCTGAGGAGCAGGAGAACACGAAGAAACAGCTACGAAACCCACCATGACTTTGCCAGGATGCTCCCGCTTGACCGCAATGGTCTTGCCGTAGACTTCGACCATCACAAGAGCGATGGAGGACAACGCGTCCTCTTCGTGGCCATTCTGTACCAACACTTGGAAGTCCACCAGCTCCTGGCTCGCCTCACACAACCCAGCGAGCTGGTAGAGGCAGGACCCTTGGAAGGTGAAGCTCTCACCATCGAAGGTCTCGAGATGGGTGGCCCCAACAGCAGAGCAGGTCCCATAGCTCTTGGGGTAACAGTCTTGGATGCCCTCTTCCACCCGGCACTCTTCTCCATGGCGGCAGCTGGACCATTGACACAGGGGCCTTCGGAGCTCCGGGTCACAGCGGCACCGCTTGGTGCAGTTGGTGTCACCCCAAAACACCTCATGGGGGCCATGGAGGAGGCCCTCAAAGACGCAACCACACTTGTCTTGGGGGATGCACTCGTTGAGGTCCAGCACGAAGCCCTCCTGGCACTCGCAGGTCTCCACGCAGGCCGTGGGGTCACAGGTGGGTGGCATCGCAGCCGGGTTGCAGGTGGTGGGGCAGGAGGTGCCGCACGCAGTGTAGTTGCTGTTCTTGGGGCAGGGCAGGGCTGTGGAGGGGATGGGACACAATGGTTGTGGTGGGATGGGGCACAATGGTTGTGGTGGGATGGGGCACAATGGTTGTGGTGGGATGGGGCACAATGGTTGTGGTGGGATGGGACACAATGGTCATGGTTGGATTGGACTTTCTACATAGACTTTCTAGAATCTCCATGGTCTTCCTGGAGTCTCCATGGTCATTCCAGCCCCACCTCCCCTCCATGCCCCTCTTCCAAACAACCTGTCCCACCTCACTTGGAAGCCTCTCTGGTGACACCAACATCCCCATTGCTCCCATTTCCCTTCCTCCTTTTCTCCTCATTCCCATCCCACCACCCCTTGATTCCATCCATTCCTTGCCCACCAAAGGGACAGCCTTTGGGGCCCACCGGGAGCTACTCACGGCACCGTGCCGGTGTCCTCCAGTCCTCAATGGTGACCCCTTCCTCTTGGCAGCTATCTGCATAGGCTTCGAGGGCTTGGCACAGCATGGTGTGGAGGCCATCGTTGACACACAGGTCATAGATGCAGTTGTCCACGTAGACCTTGGGGTTGATGGTGGCGTGGCACCTCCAGAAGGGCCCCATCCGTTGGGTCATCATCCCACACCATGTCTCCTCCTGGTACCTGGCCACCTCGTCCTGTTGACACCGCTCACAGGCCCCACTGCAGTTGTCCCAGCAACGATGGCTTTCATTGGCCACCTTCCAGCTTGCCCCCAGCTCCACCGCGTCCTGGGCCACGTCGCCGTCAGGTTTGAGGGCATCGTCTTGGGGGTCACCATTGGCGTTGCCACACAAGCCACACACTTTGCCAGCGAGGACACTGGGGAGCTTCAGCACTACGCGGGCGTCCCAGTCATAGAGGACCTTCAGCTTGAAGGCTGTTTGAAGCAGCATGGACCGGCCCCTTTGTCGTAGGTGGAGCTTACCATCGGCGAGGGTGATGGGGAGGTGGGACCGGTGGTTATTGACCTGGAAGAGGAAAGAAACCCCGTGAAGGACCCAAAAAAGTGGATCCAAAAAGGGGGTGAAACTGAAGGGTTTGAGCTGTTTGGAGGTGTCTTCTGCAAGAGGTCACTGTGCAGAAGCTCATTGAGGTTGGAGACCACCCTTCAGGTGCATCGTTGCTTTGGGTTGACTTACCCTCACCATGCCGTTCTCCGACCTGACCACCACAATGGTCACACCATAGACACGGATGGTGATGGAACCAACATAGGAGACCTTCAGGTTGCCCCGGTGCTCGTTTTTGGCCTCAATGCTGAAGATGGGCATGGTTGGGTCTGGGTCACAGGTCTTGGTCAAGGTGTAGGTGCAGGTGCCCATGAAGTCAAAGGGTTTCCCATCAAAGGTCCTATAGTGAGGATCGCCAGTGGCCCAGCAGGTTGAGAAGGTCTCTTGGACGCATTTAGGTTGCCCATCCACCACCTCACACTTCTCCTTGCAGGCCAGGTCTTGGCATGAAAGAGGAGGAGAACCTGCAGAGAAAGAGGGGATAAACCCATGGAGAAGAGGAAGAGGAAGAAACCCGTGGAGAAGAAGAGGAAGAGGGAAGAAACCCATGGATGGCCACCATGGAGAAGACCTGCGCATTGACAACACCACAACCATGATGCTGACCATACTCACTGGTGGCACAAAGACCACTGAAGCCATAACCAGCATAGTTCTGGAAGCCAAAGACCAGGATCCCAAAAGGTGTCCTCGGGTGCTGCACACTCTGGATCTCCCCTGCCTTGGTCATGGTGATGGTGGCCCAGGAGAAGTCCGTGCCGGGGATGCTTTGCCAGGGTATGATCCTCTCCATCCTCTGGTTGAGTGTTACGGTGCTGGTGTCCATGTTGGGGGCCATGAGGACAATGTGGTTCTCATAGCCGGCCATGCTGATGACCTGGTAGGACTTGCAGTAGGTGGGCACGGGTTGGATGTTGACCATGAAGGGGTCTTGCTTCATGGAGCCCTTCTTGGAGCCGGTGAAGAAGAAAACCACCTGAACCCCAGCTGAAGCATTGAGATGAAGGGGAGACCTTGGGCCCACCTTGACCTTACGGACCTGCCCGGCCACCAGGACCTCGGTGGCAACCGCGTTACCCCTACTGTAGCTAAGGGAGGTCCTCTCCGCTGCCACCACGTAGGCCAAGTCCATGTCCTTCTGCACCGGGCTGGGAGGGATGACGAAGACCTTGCCCCATCCATCGACGGGCAGAAGCTGCTCCACCGCGTGGTCGCATCCCGTGTGGACCTTGACACAGCTGTGGCCACTGAGGACCGCCACGGGGTGGTCCGATGTGACCTCGGTGCCGGAGAGATCGGAGCGACTTTGGAGCTGGAAGCTGTGGTAGGGACCCAAGGAGACGCGAAGGATGCTCCCAGGGGAGTAATTCCTCCCTCGGTAGTAGAACCTCCCCTTGGCTTTGATGGTGACGGTGGTCGAGGTCCTTCCGGCCACCACCACCAGCTCCTTGAGCCCATCTCTCCCAGTGCCTTCCGGTGTCACCGCGTAATACCTCCGGCCCAACATCTCCACCGGTAGGACCACGGTGGCACCGGTCGTGAGCCTCTTGGAGCTGGTGGCCACCACAGAGATGTCTTTGGTGGCCTGGATCAAGACGGCTTTATCCGAGAGCTGGGTGCCCACCAGCTCCACGTTGCCGGGGAGGCGGAGAGGAACCGCGTCGCCGGTGCCGAGGGAGATGGTGCTGGTGAAGGCACCGCCGCGCGTGGTCACCGTCACCATGGTGGCCGTGGAGGAGGCGGTGAGCAGGAGCTGGGCGTTGAGGTAGGCGCCTTCCTCATCATTCTGCATGAAGGCCGTGAGGAATTCCGTGCCGGGAAAAGCCAAAGTGGGAAGAGCTGGAGGAGAAGGTGGGGAAAGTGGGAATTGGGGGGGGGGGGGGTGTGTCTGTTTGGGTGGTTGTGGGAGTTGGGCTGGATCAATGGGAATGAGGGGACTGGGGAGGGAAAAGGGTGCGGTGGGAAGGGTGGAAAATGGGGGGGTTGGTTGAGGAAAGGGATGGGAAGTTCTAAGGGAATGGGGTTTGGGGGGAGAAATGGAAACGAGGGAGAATGGGGATTGGAGGAAGGGGAAATTGAAATGGGAATTGGGGGAAATGGGAATTGGGGGAATGGGAATGGGGGAAATTGGGATTGGGGAAATGGGAATTGGGGGAAATGGGAATTGGTGGAAATGGGGATTTGTGGGATTAGGGAATTGATGGTGGGTTTTCCTGGTGGAAGCAGGGTTGGAATGTCGGGACACATCCAAACCCAGCAAAACAGGGAATGAGAATTTGATGCTCAAAACGAAACAGGAAACATGGGGGGGGGGATGAGGGAATTTAGGCTTTTGTTGTGAAAAACACGCCAAAAAGGTGAGAAAACCTCTTGGATTCTAAGTTAAAACAGCAGTGGTGAGGATTTGGGGTGAAAAAAGAGGGGCTTTGGGTAAAAATAGCTGTTTTGTGCAATTTTTCATTGAAATAGAGAGGGAAGGAGGGTGTTTTGGGTGAAAATAGGGAATAATGAGGTTTGGCTGGAGGTAAAGTCAGGGAATGAGGGGATTTGGGGTGAAAATAGGGAATAATGAAATTCGGCTGGAGAAAAACCAGAGAATAAGTTGTTTTGGGTGAAAAAAAGGGGCTTTTTGGTGAAAAGCAACAGGCAAAGAGAGATTTTGGTGAAGAGGCGAAGGGTTAATAAAGTGGGAAAGGGGAAAATAGGAAATAAGGGGAAATCTCTGGGAAACAGAGGGAATAAAGCCTTTTGCTGCAGAAACATGAAGTAGAAGGGACTAAAATAAGCTTAAACCAGGGGAAACTGGGGCTTTGGGGAGGGGAATGGGGTCGGGTTGATGCTCACCGCAGCAAAGAGCCAATGGAAGCCACCAGATGTCCATCTCCATCCCTGGGAAATGCCCAAAGTAAGAAAAATGAACCTCTTGTTTGGGGTAAAAAGAGCCATGAACAGACAAAGAGGAACCTGGAGGTGACCCAAGTGTCTCCAGCATCTCCTTTTGGTCCCAAATTGTCCCCAGAGACCCTTTTCTACCTGTTGGAAGCCTCTTGCAAGTCACTTGGATTGAGTTCTTCTCATCCCAAAGACCCCCAAGTTCCCCCTTTACCATCATCTCTGACCCAAACCCCTTCTTGATGCCACCTTCAAGCCATGGTGCCATCAAACCCACCTAATGATGAATCCCTCCCCTAAAATCACAGCAATTTGGGTCCAAATGAGGCCAAATGGCAGCCATTTGGCCATTCCCACCTTCTGAATGTTCTTAGAGCTGCTGGTTGCCCCCCATCACTCAACACCTGATGGGGGCTCCATCCAAAACGTCTCAATTCAGGCTTGGGATGGAGGAAAACCCCCTTTTAATGGGGTTTTCCTGGGAATTTGACCCATTTAGGACTTCTTTTCGGTGGGTGAAGGCACCTCAGACATCTTTGGCTTAGAGGGACCAACCCAGCATGCCCCAAAGGACCCATAGTGCTTACCTTTGGGCTTCTTTCTGCTTCAGCACCTCTTTGCTCTCCCAAAGACCCCTCCCATCTGTGAGGTTGGATGAAGGGAAACTGTCGTCTTGATCCCAAAACTTCCCTTTTTATGACCCAATGGGGCTTATCTCATGGAGCTGTCACAGGGACCTCTGATAGGAGAAGGAATTGGGTCCAAAAAGGGCTGGATTTGGCCACATCTCATGGGTAGGAGGTGGGGTTGGGGCTTTGGAGGCCAAAAGAGGTTGGACTTCCAGAGACCTGGAGTTAACGGCATGCATGGTGGAGCCAGAGGACATGGGAAAGGTGGAGCTGGATTCCTTCATCTCCACTGCTTTCCTTGTGGGAAGGATGCTGAGGAGGTTGTGATTGGTGATGTGATCCATAGGGAACGTTGGGATGGGTGATGCGATCCCATAGGGAATGTTGGGGTGCATGCAGGGTCCCTATAGGGACATTGCAATGGATGCAGGACCCCCATAGGGACATTGTGATGGGTGCAGAACCCCCATTGTGATGGGTGCAGGACACCATGCCTCACGTCCCCAGCTGCCTCCCACTACCATTGCAAGGTCCCCACCACCAAGACCCCCCCCCAAACGTACTTGGATCATGTTCTTCCCATTGCCCCCCCTGTTTGAGGCCTCCAAGGGACGGTGGGGATGGAATGGGGTTGATTAATGAGGATCTTCCTTGTGGGAAGCCTGGAGAACGTCAAGGCCCAGCTTGTGTGTCCATGCCAAAAGCTTATCTAAGGGCTCATTAAACATCTGGATGGAGCCAGATGTCTCCCATGACCTTCTGGAGGCCTCAGATGGGCTCTTGAACCCTGGATGGACAGGAAGTTGGCAGATTCCATTGTGTTTATGGGGCTTGATCCTGATGGGATGGGTTTCCTCATGGTGGGATGGGTTTTCCTCATGGTGGGATGGGTTTTCCTCATGGTGGGATGGGTTTCCTCATGGTGGGATGGGTTTCCTCATGGTGGGATGGGTTTTCCTCATGGTGGGATGGGTCCTGGAGATCTTCAGGTTAAAAGAAGGGACAGGATGTGACCCCAAACCCATTTCTTGCTGTCTGAACTCCACTTTCCTTCTTTCCCTTGGGACATCAAGCCACAGCAAGGACAGCCAGGTAGGACATTTGATTTCCATCTTCTCCCTTGGAATTCCAAGGGTTGGAGCGGTCCCTCCTTCTCCCTATGGCTTCAAATAGCAGGAATTGGGCTGAAATGAAATTCCCTTGGGAAATGGGATATTTCATGGAATTATGGAACGGGTTCAGCTTAGAAGGGCCTTGAAGCTCATCCAGTTCCAACCAAGGGACATGGACCAAGCCCCATCCAACCTGGCCTTGAACCCTTCCAAACCTTCTCCAGTCAACCCATTCTGATGTCCCACCACCCTCCTGGTGAAGAACTTCCTTCGATCCCATCCAACTCTTTTCCAGTCGGAAGCTGTTCCTCACCCTCCCATTGGAGAAGCCCCTCATTTTGGAGCTGTTGGGATGAAGGCCTCATACCATGTCCTGCTCCTGCTCTTAGGTAGGTTGGAAGGAGACATCTGCTGAGGATGCTCCAGTCCTGGGTGATGGTTGCTCCTCTTTCCCTTCCATGTCTTCTCCAGGAGCTGTGGGGAGCGTCCAAGCAGCAGAAGACAAAGGTGGGTCCTCACACCATCCAAAGATGGGCTTTTCCACCCAAAATGGGCTTGTTTCTGCTTCATTTTGGGACGTGGGATGGGAAAGGAGCTTCCATATGGGAATACGGACGTTGGGGGTCCTCTTCTTGCCCTCAAATCCGTGTCTACCCCACTTGCACCCCAATCTTTGGCCACCATGGAGAAGTCAACCCCATCTGACCCACTTGGTCAACCCCACATGGAGCTCAGGCCCCATTTAAGACCAAGCTGGTGGGTTGCACCCCAAAGTCCATGGGATGGGTTTGGGATGTCCATCAATAGCTCAACCTCTGTGTTCCTCCAGCATCTCTGCTCTACCCCTATGGTCTGGAGCAACAAGACCAGAAGAACCCCAAACTGGATGATGGGACATCAGAGGTCACCCTCACTGTGCCCTTCACCTTCTATGGCCAGGAGCACCAAACCCTCTACGTACGTGAGTCAAGATCTGACCCCTTCCATGAAGACCTTTCATTTTCCCATTCCCACCTTTCCTTCTGCTCCATTTCATCCCTTTGGTCCCATTTCTGGTGTATCCAAGTGTCCTCCTATGGCTGGTGGGTCTTAGGAGAAGACCTTCTCCCATAGAGGAGGCCACATTTAGGGATGGAGCAATGGTGCCCTCAGGCATGGTCACGGAGATGCAGAGGACAATGGCAAGAGCACATCTGGATCCCAGCTCCATGCTACCATAGCCAAGGTGGTGGTGGGGCTCCAATGGAGGTTGGGGTTGACCTGATGTCTTCTCCAGGTCAACAACAACGGGGTGATCTCCTTTGACACCCGGGTCAACCAATACACCCCAGACCCCTTTCCGTTGGCTGATGGACGCCCCTTTGTGGCCCCATACTGGGCAGATGTGGACAACGTGCTTGGAGGAGATGTCTTCTACCGACAGACCACTGACCCAGCACTGTTGGCCCTCATCACCAACGACATCAACCAGTACTTCCCCACCATCCCCTACACGGCCACATGGGCTCTGGTGGCCACTTGGGATCATGTGGCCTACTACGGCTCTACCACCAACAAGGTAAGGTCCATAGGTATGACTTGAAGGGCAGATGAGACCCATGTGTTGACCTCACCCCCATAGGAAAGAAGCTGTGGTCGAACCCATCTGCTGGTAGACACCAAAGGAACCAGCTTGGATGCCCCGTTCCTCACCAAGAGAACTTCCTTAGCACCCCTCAGAGCTAAACCCCATCCCTATCTCCTCATCCCACCACGTCTGGTGTCCATCTCCCCCTTCCTTTCTGCAGGGCAACACCTTCCAAGCCATCCTCACCACCGACACCAAGAGGTCCTTCATCATCCTCAACTACTGGGATATCCAATGGACTACAGGGGCAGCAAGCGATGGGGACCCTGAAACGGGGCTTGGTGGGACTCCAGCCCATGTATGTTGGGAAAGGAGGAGGACATGGGATGGGGTTGGGAATGGGGGAGAAGGTCGATGCCATCTTTGACCCATCCTTGTAGAGGACAATGCCCAAATAGGTTGGCCCATGAGGTTTCTGGGTGACCCCACCAGGTCCAATGGAGACTGGAGGTGCCCCATAACATGTACTGGGCCACCACCACCACCAATAGGAGGTTGTCCCATGCCATGGGTGGGATTCACCTCCCCTTTTGGCCTCCTTTCCAGGCTGGCTTCAACAGTGGAGATGACACCAACTTCTACAACATCCCTGGCTCCCAAACGGAAGCCATCATTAACATCACCAAGACCTCCAATGTCAACATCCCAGGGCGATGGGTCTTCCAAGTGGATGACTTCAAGGTGACCGGGGTCCCTGCTGAGGTGCCCAAGGTCTCCAAGAGCAACAACTGCTGGTTGTAAGGTGGGTTTTGGGGTCAAAACCTGGGAAAAAGGGACAATTGAGACAACTTTCCTCCTCTTGAGGTCTTGGTTTCTTCCAACAGCTCCATCAAACCCATTGGGCCAGAGGAACCCTTTGGTGTCCCCACCATGCATAGGATGAAGGTGACGCAATGGGATGCATCAACCTCCACTAGAGCAATAAAACTCCGTTCGGGACACGGTGGCTCCTGGGTCCTCATCACTTCCAACTTGTGGCCATGGGATTTGGGGGGGAGCTGGACAACGTGGATGGAAATAACCCATTTTGGGCCAATTTGTGCTCAAATCCCTGATTTTCCTCTTTCTTTATGCTCAAATTGATGATTTTCCTCCTTCTTTGTGCTCAAATTTGTGATTTTTCCCCTTATTTGTGCACAAATTTACAACAAATTTACAATTTTCCCCTTCATTGTGCTCAGATTCATGCTTTCCCCCCTTTTTTTTGTGCTCAAATTTCTGATTTTTCACCTTTTTTGCACCCAAATTTAAGGGTTATTTTTGGTGCCAAAATGACTCATTTGAAGGGGAAAATCCACATATTCCAGGAAAAACATCCCCAAAATCCCCCAAACTGGGAGTTTTTTTCCCATAAAATGGAACTTTTTAACCCCCAAAAGTGGGATTTTACATATAGCCCCCATATGTTGCATCCACAACACGCTCCAACATGCCTACAACACGCAACCCCCCCAGCATGTCACATACAACCTACAAACAACACCATCCCCCCCCCCCCATTTCAAATGGGATAATTTGGGAATATCCCACCCCTTTTTCCCCCTTTTCAGCCCCATTTTAGAATCAAACCCCCTCCGATCTCCCCCCCCCCCCCCCCTTGTGATTTTGGACCATTCCAACCCATCCAGGACCCCCCCCCCTCAATCCCTATGTAGGAATTCCGGGAATTCCACTGCTTTTTGGCCCTTGGCTGCTGCCTCGGGTGGGTTTGAACCAAACCCCAGCTTTTTTAACCCATTCTGGCAGCCAAAAGTGATGTCAAAGCAGCGGGTGGGTGGGTCGGTCCCTGGGGGTCCTTGGTGTTTGTCCCGGCTTAGAGGGATATTTGATCCCAAAACGTGAATCCAAGGAAGAGCAGGAGGGCTGAAAGGGGAGCCGGGATCGGGATTTGGGGCTAAGGCGGTGGATTTTGGGGCTGGAAGCAAGGTAAAGCTCCAGATGGGGTTAAAACCGGGAGGGATTTGGCGGCGATGGGTGAAAAGACGGGAATGGAGCCAGGAAATTCCTTAAGTATTCCACAGCCTCACACAGAGAGCCCTGATTGCGGCTGGAATTGGCTGCTTGGGAAGGGACTGGGGGGGGAAAGGGGGGAAAAAGGGGGAAAAAGGGGAAAAAGGGAAGAGAAAAGGGGGAGGAAAGGGAATGGGGTGGGAAAGGGAAGGGAAGGGAAGGGAAGGGAAAAGAGGGGGGGAAAGAGGAGGAAAGGGATGAAGGGGGAAAGGGGGAAGAAGGGGAGGGAAGGGGAAAGGGAGGGAGGGAATAGGGTGGGAAAAGGGGGAAAGGGAAGGGAAGATGAGGGGAAAAGGGGAGGAAAGGGAAGAACTGGGGAGGAAAGGGGATGAAAGGGAAAAGAGAGAAGGGAATGGAGGGGAGGGAATAGGGTGGGAAAAGGGGAAAAGAGAGGGGAAAATAGGGGAAGAAGGGGAGGAAAGGGATAAAGGGGGAAGGGGAAAGGGGGAAGAAGGGAAGGAAAAGGGGAAAATAGGGAGGAAAAGGAAAAAGTGGGAATGGGAGAAGAAAGGGGGAATTGGGGGGAAAGAGGGAAAAAATGGGCAAAATAAGCAAGGGAAAAGGGAAGCAGCCACATGGGGACGAGTCCACATGTGCCACCACAACCAGGATCAGAACCTCAAGCCTTAGGGCAAAGAGAAGCCCCATTTTGGGTATAAAACAAAGGATTTGACCATTTTCTCCTCTTCTGCAGCAGCAGAACCATGGCCCGGGGTGAAGGTGATGTCCTGAGGGGCTGCACCAGCATGCTCTGGGGTGAGTTCAATGATCAATGCTCATTGGGTCAATGTCCATCAGATCAATGCCCATTAGATCAATGTCCATCAGGTCAACGTCCATCAGATCAATGTCCATAGATCAATGCCCATTAGATCAATGTCCATCAGGTCAATGTCCATCAGATCAATGCCCATCAGATCAATGTCCATCAGATCAATGCCCATTAGATCAATGTCCACCAAATCAACATCCATCAGATCAATGTCCATCAAATCAACGTCCAGCAGATCAATGCCCATTAGATCAATGTCCACCAAATCAACATCCATCAGATCAATATCAAATCAATGCCCATCAGATCAATGTCCATCAGGTCAATGCCCATCAGACCAATGTCCATCAGATCAATGCCCATCAGATCAATGCCCAATGGGTCAAGGTCCATCAGATCAATGCCCACCAGATCCATGTCCATCAGGTCAGTGTCCATCAGATCAATGTCCATCAGATCAATATCCATCAAATCAATGTCCATCGAACCAAAGCCCATCAAATCAATTACCCATCAAATCAAAGCCAGTCAAAGATCAATTGTCCACCTCAAGCCCACCTTGAGCCCCATTCCCCACCCTTGCCCTTACGGGTGATGAAGACCCCAAGGGCCAATTCTCTTCTTGCAGGGCTGCTTTGGTTGCTCAGCGCCTCTGCCTCCACCCCACCTCACCTTGGAGAAGACTTCGTGGTGGCCTTCATGCAGAACGGGCTGCAGCAGACCCTCAACAGCGACTTCAAGCTGCTCCTCACCGGTTACTCCCCCTTTACCTCCGTCACCATCTCCATGAAGAGGCCGGGTTTGAGGATGACGGTGCAGGCCACCACGGGCCAAACCATCCTGGTGAAGATCCCCCCCCAAGCCGAGATGGTTGGGAGCAAAGCCTTCGACAACACCGTGGTGGTGAAGGCCACCAACGCCGTCTCCTTGGTCATGGTCAACGAGAAGCCCACCTCGGTGGACTCCACCGCGGTGCACCCGGTGCACGCTTGGGGCACCGAGTACCACGTTGTGACCCCCAACGTGGGCACCGACCGCTACGGGGAGTTCGTGGTGGTCTCTTGGGATGAAGCCACCATGGTTGACATCCACCTCAAAGCCACCGTGACCTACCAAGGCCGGACCTACCCTCGGGGCTCAGTTCTTGCCATCAAACTGGAGCCTTTCCAAGCAGCCCAACTCCAAAGCCCATCTGATATGTCCGGCACCAGGATCATGGCCCATAAACCTGTGGCTGTCTTCACCGGTCATACTTGCTTGGCCAGGTTCACCCAATGCGACCATTTGGTGGAGCAGCTCCAACCCGTTTCTAGCTGGGGAACCACTTTCATTGTGCCCCCGTTGCCCTTTGAGACCCAAGCAGACATCATCTACGTGTCCACCTCACAGAAGACCCGTGTGGAGTCTCAACACGGGGTCTCCAAAGAGGTCCGGGAGCTACGGCCAAGCAGGTCAACACTCTACGGTCTCCAAGCCTTTAACACCTTGTACCTGTCGGCCAGTGCTGGCATCCAGGTCATCTTCTTTGCCGATGGAGGTACCAAGGAGTCCATCTCTTATGACCCCTTCTTCATGACCATCCCAGATGTCTCCAGCTACTGTCACTCCTACAGCGTCATCGCTCTGGATGGGTATGAGAACTACGCCCTGCTCATAGCCAAGACCTCGGAGACGTCCTCAATGATGCTCAACAAGAGCCCCTTGAGGAACGTCATGTGGAAGAAGGTCCCAGGGACCGACTACTCCTGGGCTGAGCAGAGCTTGGGCAGCCAGTTCTCGGTCCATACGGTGGAGAATGAGGTGTCCCCCTTCGGGTTGCTGAGTGTGGGCATCCGGGAGCAGAAAGCCTACGGGTTGGCGGCTGTTTGTGACAGTGGTGAGTGTCCCATGGCCACCTTCTTCACCTCCTCTCTGCTTCCTTTAGGTGGCCAAACCCACCTGAGATAGGTTGTGATCCATGAATGATCCGTAGGTTAATGGTCTATCAATGGAAGGAGCCTCAAGTGGTCAAGCCATATGGTCAAGCCCAAGCCCTGGAGGTGCTGGTTGACCACCTATGGTGATGGTGGCCACAAGTGGTCAACCCATATGGTCAAGCCCAAGCCCTGGAGGTGCTGGTTGGCCACCTATGGTGATGGTGGCCACAAGTGGTCAACCCATATGGTCAAGCCCAAGCCCTGGAGGTGCTGGTTGGCCACCTGTGGTGATGGTGATGGTGATGCTGTCCCTGTCCCTCTCCCCATGGACCATTCCATGTGTGGTTCCTTCTAGATCCCTGCCGGCTCCTGAAGTGCCGCACAAAGGAGACCTGCAAGTTGGAGAAGGGGGTGGCCACCTGCATCCATGACTACATGGGCACCTGCATGGGCTCACAGGCCTTGCAGTACCACACCTTTGATGGGATGACCATGGACATCCGTGGTGGTTGCACCTACACCATTGCCAAGTCCTGTGGCAACGATCCCACCTTGGTGCCTTTCGTTGTGGAAGAGAAGAAGAGTGAAGGCAACATCAAGGAGTGGTTGACCAAGGTCTATGTGTATGGTTCCAACATCTCCATCCATGTAGGGGAAGGAGGTAAAATCCAGGTGGGTTCTTCCAGGTCTTGGAAGTGGTATTCCGTGGGCAAAGCCAAGTGGAAGAGGGTAAAACATGGTGGTGGGTGAGGCTGGCATCAGAACCTAAGGAGAACTACCAAAACCATGGAGAACTGGGACATAGGGGTGAAGGGAAGGGTGTTTGGAACCTCACTGAGATGCCCTCAGAGGTGTCTCCAACCAAACCATGGCCACTTTTGGGTTAGAATCAAGGAAAAGGCAGGTTTAATGCCATAAATCCACCACGAAATGGGGTTTTGGGCTCAGAGATGCCCAACCAACCTTCTCCTTCTCCTTTCCTCCAAGGTCAACAAGAAGCCCATCAATGTGCCAACCACATTGGAAGCTGGGAAGATCCAGATCTCACAAAACGAAGGGAGGCCTATGCTCCAAACAGCCTTTGGGCTGCAGGTGACTTATGACGAAGATTGGGCCATAATGGTGGCCGTGCCCAGCAGCTACTTCGGGGCTACCTGTGGCCTCTGTGGCAACTTCAATGAGGACACTGAGGATGAGATGACCCTTCCTGATGGCACCCAAGCTGCTACCATGGAGGACTGGGCTGA